GGCACACATCTGCATAAGCTCTACCTACAGTATCCCGTCCAGCAGGAACAGACAGATTGCATGCATGCAGGCGGGATTCAGACCGCGGTTGAAGGCGCGGCCTTCTTTAGTCGACCTGTTGGTTCATGCCAGCAGAAACAGCGGTCCCAATTCTCCCACTTGCAGCGAGAGCGGTCTTGGGACAGGCGATTATTGGGACAAGAGGGACAGCAGTCCGGGCAAGAGCAGCCTCAGGAGTTGGAGTGAGCGGGATCACGATGATAGAGGTTCTGCTAGGGGCCACTTACAGCAGTCGGAGTTTGTAGGGGAAAGCACAGTGGGAGCACCTGCTGCATCATGGCATCCACAAGTGGTGGGCTCGGCGGGGTCATGGTTGGAGAGCGACGGGGATCCAGATGACCTGTTAATGGATGGGGAACATGGGGAGCAGCAGCAGCAGCCACTGTCCCTCCCACTACGCGGGCGGCTGCGGCTGCGGCCTGGGGTGCCTCACCTCGTCACCACCATCCCAAATTCGGCGGCTCTGCTTGACCAAGCTTCCAACCTCCCACTGCCACCATCACCAACCAAACCGTCCTCAGATCCCTCAACACCCACATCGCAGCTCGATCCGCCTGCCCCAACATCGCCCGAGCGACCCGCGCACAAACATATACCTACAGTCATCGTTACCTCGGATTCCCCTCGACCTCCTCTGAAACCTACGTCCGCGCCAATTGCTCTTTCGCCCAAGATGGCTCCCGTAAGCTTCGCCCCATCATCGTTCCCCTCTTCTCGGCAACGCGTCGCTTCACGTCGCAACCACTGGCACATCATCACATGCCTCTTACCTCTACCAGGATTTGATGTACGGCCTTGTCTGCTAACATGGCTTCTGAATAGCACCAAAACGGCGCCGAGAAGGATGGCATCCAAACCGGTAAGTGTCCAGTGGGCAACCTCGTAACTGCTACACTTGACTCGAGATTCATGGTTTACTAACAGCTCGCAGGCAAGATCTACTCGGTGTCCGGGTACGCTCCCCATCGAAGTCTAGCTCCCTGTCTCTCGACCAGTTCGCTAACCGATAGACCCAAAGCCCTGTCGTCGTCGCCGAGGATATGATTGGTGTTGCTATGTATGAGTTGGTATGGTTATACACTTGTCCTCTGCCGCTGGTGGGGTGCCTGAGCTGAGACTGAAGATAGGTGAAAGTTGGCCACGATCAACTAGTTGGTGAAGTCATTCGCATCAATGGCGACCAAGCGACTATCCAAGTATACGAAGAGACCGGTAGGGCTGACGACCCCCAAGTCATACCATCCTTGCACCGCGATAGCTAACAAGTCCCTTGATAGCTGGCGTCATGGTTGGCGATCCCGTACTACGGACAGGCAAGCCTCTCTCCGTCGAACTCGGCCCCGGTCTCCTAAACAACATTTACGATGGTATTCAGCGTCCCCTCGAGAAGATCGCCGAGGCTTCCAACAGCATTTACATTCCCCGCGGCATCGCCACCCCTGCGCTGGACCGCAAGAAGAAGTGGGAGTTCACACCGACCATGAAGGTTGGCGATCACATCGCGGGTGGTGACGTCTGGGGTACCGTCTACGAAAACTCTTTTATCTCTGTTCACAAGATTCTCCTTCCTCCCCGGGCCCGTGGTACCATCACCAGGATCGCCGAGAAGGGCGAGTATACCGTTGAGGAGAAGATTCTCGAGATCGAGTTTGATGGCAAGAAGACCGAATACCCCATGATGCAGACCTGGCCTGTTCGTGTACCACGCCCTACGACCGAGAAGCATTCCGCCAACCAGCCTTTCCTTGTCGGCCAACGTGTGCTCGACGCTCTCTTTCCCTCGGTCCAGGGTGGCACTGTTGCTATCCCTGGTGCTTTCGGCTGTGGCAAGACTGTCATTTCTCAGTCTGTCTCCAAGTTTTCCAACAGTGACGTTATCGTTTACGTCGGTTGTGGTGAGCGCGGTAACGAAATGGCTGAAGTCTTGAAGGATTTCCCCGAGCTGTCTATCGAGGTTGACGGCCGCAAGGAGCCCATCATGAAGCGCACAACCCTCATCGCCAACACCTCCAACATGCCCGTCGCCGCCCGTGAGGCCTCCATCTACACGGGTATCACAGTCGCCGAGTACTTCAGGGATCAGGGCATGGACGTTGCCATGATGGCTGACTCTTCATCCCGTTGGGCTGAAGCGCTCAGAGAAATTTCCGGTCGTCTTGGAGAAATGCCGGCTGATCAGGGCTTCCCCGCTTACCTTGGTGCCAAGCTCGCCTCCTTCTACGAACGCGCCGGCAAGGTCGAGGCTCTTGGTAGCCCTCAGCGCGAGGGCAGTGTCAGCATTGTCGGTGCTGTCTCTCCCCCCGGTGGTGATTTCTCTGATCCTGTCACATCTGCCACCCTCGGCATCGTGCAGGTCTTCTGGGGTCTCGACAAGAAGCTTGCGCAGCGCAAGCACTTCCCGTCCATCAACACCTCCGTCAGTTACAGCAAGTACCTCACCACCCTCGACAAGTGGTACGAGAAGGAGTACCCGGAATTCCCTCGCCTCCGCGACCGCATCCGCCAGCTCCTTTCCGACAGCGAAGAGCTCGACCAGGTCGTCCAGCTGGTCGGCAAGTCGGCGCTCTCGGATCCCGACAAGATCACGCTCGACATGGCGACGCTCATCAAGGAGGACTTCCTCCAGCAAAACGGCTACTCAGACTACGACCAGTTCTGTCCTATTTGGAAGACGGAGTGGATGATGAAGCTCATGATGGGATTCCATGACGAAGCGCAGAAGGCCATTGCCCAGGGCCAGAACTGGAACAAGGTGCGCGAGGCCACCCAGGACTTGCAGGCTCAGTTGAGGAGTCTCAAGTTCGAGGTGCCTAGTGAGGGACAGGAGAAGATTTGCAAGAAGGTATGTTTTGAACTCTTTTTCTCGTCTCTACCAAATGAAGCATATGACTAACTATCTTCGATGTTACAGTACGAGGCGATACAGCAGCAGATGCTGGACAAGTTCGCGTCTGTTATTGATGAGTAAACGCTCCGTCCGGGATATGCGGTAGCAGTTTGTGTGTGAGCATAGAAGGAAGCAAGAAGCAAGCATGCATGCATGGACGTCTGTCTCTCTCTGTCTGGGGTTCATTGATGGAATGGGAAGGAGGGTACGCATGAAATGGATTGATGAGGATGATGATTGAAAGACTGTTCTGCCTAGTTGGTTTCTTTGTTAACTATTAGTTCGTCGTCGTCGTCGTCGTTGTTGTTGTTGTTGAAGTAGTAGTTGTGTATGTTGCTCACTTGTCACGGAACCCTTGTTACCTCTTGCTTTGGAGCATGTGTACCATGCTACCATCTTCTCTTGGTTGCGCATTCTTTTATACGGCTATACCCACGGTGCTTTTGAACTACTTGGTCCTAGTGACCCTCTCTATACCTCTTTACCCATGCTCACTCACTTGGAACCTCGGATTAGCCAGCCCTCTTTACTTGTTTGTAGTCACAGTAACTCGTTCGGTGATCTTGATAAGTTCTCAGAAATTTGGCTTGTTATTTGATTCGTCATCATGGTCATGAATCTCATTCTATGTGCTCGTCATATCCATCGTTACAATATTTGGTGATACAAGGAATTTTCTGCGTCCTCAAAAAAAACAGACAGAAGGACGGACATTACATCACATCACATCACATCACATCCCGCCCTGCATCTTTTTTATCTGCCACATACGTATCTCCCCGAACACTCAAATAATCAGATCCAACATCGAATCTGCCAATCCTATCTGGCGAGGTTGGATCCGATCTAACCCAACCAACCAGCCGGGTAAACACGTGTGTTGTACCATCCGACATGGTTCCCAATCTGGCTCGTGCAATTCCTGATTTCGTAGGAATTTCCAACTCTACTGGCGGACCTTACTATCGACGGTTCAGTCGGCCATTATGAATTCTGGACTGGGTCGTCATATTGTCCCTCTCGCCTGGTTGGTTATTTGGTTGATTGGTTTGGGTAGTGATTGTGTAAATGATCGTAAAGCAAATAACCAATGACCCAGATAGTTCTGCTGCTACTGCTGCTGCTGCTGCTGCTGCTGCTCGTGTTTGATGTTTGCTGATGTTGCTGACATTTGTATACCGCGGCGGACCTCGCAATGGTTCGTTCCATCAATCAGCCCGACGAATCTTCCGATTCGGCTGCTCCCAGTTCCAGTTCGGTAAATCCCTCAAGAACGCTGAACGACGAGAGAGGTGTGGTAGGCTCCAGGTGGCAGATTTGTAGTTTGTCGGGATGCAGGTTAGGTTGGTTGTTACACGGATTCGTACTCGTAGATATATATGTATATCAGCTTGCTGTTCCACTGAATTGAGATCGATATCGGCAACTGCGATATTCTCGTGTCCTCGTCATGATCAGCGTGGTGTCAGGTAGGTCGCTCGATCGGTTGAAAGAGTGGCCTTATGTCGCCTTATTGTTGGTGCCAACGGTATGATAAGCGGGCTGAGGCTGCTTGTGTACCTCTGGCGGCGCCAAGCTCATTTCCCACTCCTTCATGTAGTAGTCGGCTGTCTTTTTTCAAGTTGCTCGGTGCGAATCTTGTGAGGACGGGTGGAAGGAGATCCTCGAGTATGGTGTTGGTCGACGTGACTGCTGGTGGAGCAGGGCGGCTGGAGGTGGACGCAACGCGTTTCTTACTCGAACTAGAGGACTTCTTCCTGTCAAAAAAAAAAAAAAAAAAAGAAGGGTCAGTCAGCGTTAGGAAATGGAGGGGTTGTCTGTGATGGGAGAGACCTTTTGATTTTCATGTGCTGTGCTGCGTGAGAGGAGATGGTATGATATGATATGCCGTTCAAATCATGATCCACCACTCATAGAAGAAGTGATATGTATTGGCTCGTATTTCTGGTGGTTTTAATGGCCCTGTTAAAACAAACTGGGACATTGCGTATATACGGCCGGATATGGTACCCACATAGGATGGGAGAGAGTAAGAGGAAATAATGGATTGCCCTTACAGAGATGTGTCGTTCTCGGTTCGCTTTTCGGAGGTTGTTGATGGGATGATGTCGCCGTTCACGGTGGTTCCACTCCATCTTGTGGATGTTGCAGTTCCTGCAGTTTCCCAGTTTGACCAGTCGTTGTCGTCCACCGATTCCATCGTCAGAGGAGTCCAAGAAAATCGCTTAGATGACTTGGATGCATCTGTTTTGGATCGCATCAGTGCTGGGGCTGGTCGCGAAGGAGATTTCAGTGCCGTATCGGCTGCCGAATCCTGGGCTTCCTTTTGAGGGCTGGTAGATCGTGATGTGGGCGCGGCGGGTGCCCAATCGAATGCCGTTGAAGATCGATTCCTCGGGGTGTTCAGACCGGATGGCTTGTATGCATCTTGCGTTCCCGTGCGGCTGGAGGAAGAGGCCGCGCCGCCATTTGGCATAGGCGTCATGCTCAACTTGCCATCCGCGCCTCTTATGTACATGCCCTGTCCGGTAATCGGCTCGTCCCCCACGGTAGCCTGCCTCAGATCTTCCATAAAAGTCCACAATCCCTGCCTGAGATCCTGAGCGATCCCTTTGACCCCAACAGTTTGTGATGCGGTTTGTGGTGCCCAGGATTGGTGTTTTGGCCGGTGTGATGGGCTGAAGGCAACATTGCGACTATTTTCTGACCCATCGCGGAAGTCACTACTCGGTTTTGTGGGGGACAGCAGTGATAGCGTGCGCGCATGTCCTCCCTGAAATACACGACGGCGCCCATTCTCGGGAAGGGGTTGATTCTGATTCTGTAGACTTTGTAGCAGCACTTTTCTCCTGTCCAGTTCCACAGCCCTTTTTGTTGCCTCATCGTCTTGGAAAGTTGGGACCGGACCAACAGGGCGCAACGGCCGTTCGCCTCGTTTCTTGTATGCTTCATGGGTCGCCCACTGTTTTTTCAGCTTGGCCAAGTCCGACTCGGCACGGGAAAGTTCTTCGCGAAGCTCGAGAACGCGTCGCTCTTGTGCTGCAATGGCAGTAATGAAGTCATTGGAATCGGCAGGGGACGTGATTGCCGGGGTATCAAAAGGGGTTGGTGGAAAGGAGGCGGTGGTCGTCGAGGTCGGTATGGGTCGCGAGGGATTCGGGTTTGGCGGCGCAATCGGAAGTGTTAGGGAAAGTCGATGAGTGGTCCGGGACGCAGTGGAAGCTGACCGTGAAGAGCGGTTCTCAATCACGTCATCGGAATGGGCGAGAGCTGTGGCAATGGCTTCGTCGGGTACGTGTCGAAGCTCGGTGTCATCTGTGCTTTTCCCACGACGAGCACGAGATCGCAGCGAGGAAGTTCGGCGGGGAAGGGGCGCGGACTGCATTGCGACCTGACCAAAGCTGTTGTGGGGTGAAACGATATGTGCCATGACGAGGGAGTTCTCCTCCCGTCGAAAGTGGCTATGAGCCGTCCCTAGATATATGGCTTGCTGATGATGAATAGCAGTAGTAGTAGTAGCAGTGATGAACGAATGTATTGTTGTTATTGTTGTCGTTGTTGTGTCAATGTTTGGTCGATGATAGGGAGTGAAGGTGGAGGCGCAGGGGCGGCGAGTACGGGTGGTCCGATGCCGATCGCAAAGCTGCTTCTGGAGGGCCAGTTGGAGGGCTGTGTTTGTGCTTGTTGTGGTGGGAAGGCGAGTCGTTCTTCTGGCGACGACGGCAGCCGTGTGGATGTTCAGCGGATGGCTGTCACGAAGTAAAAGAGCGTTGGCGCAGGCCGAGATGGAGCAGGTGGTGATGACTGTTAAGGCGGACCGGAGGGCGGCGGCGGAGGAGGACGAGGTCATTTAGGAAAAAGAGAAGATCAAGAACCCCGAGAGAATGGAAAGCTCAACAGCTGCTTGGTGGACACCCGGGTAGGTAGTGGTAGAGCCAGGGCAGCGGACCTCATCTCGGTCCTGTCATGGAACCGTGATGTTTAATTGGCGAGGATGGCAGGATCTGGATGGGTGCTTTTCCCCTGGTTTTAGGGCATGGGGTGCCCCGGATCTCAGCTGGAATCTGGTAATGTTATTCGCCCTGGAGTCGCGGACGGGACCCAGTTCGCCAAACAACGTCTCCGCAAGGCCTCGTTCGTTGTGGTGATGGTGTTGGTGATGTTGGACAGTGTTGTGCTTGAAGGTTCTAGACTTTTGTTTGCGCTGGCGATATGTATATCAAAAAGCTGGATATCCGAATGGGAACGCAACAATGGTTTGGTAAAATGCCTAGTTTATGGTCACACCGTGTAAGAACATATTCAGAAGCCGACAGGTCTGGTGGAGACCCGGTTTGTTTACCTGCAGTGATGCAATGTTTCCGCGTTGAATTGCAGGACAATGCAGGAACTGGAGAAGCGTCCACTGTCTGCAAGGGTCCTGGCCAAGACCGAACCTCGAGAGCTGGACGAGAGGAGGATTTTTTTAAGAATCAATGGAACGATGTTGAGAACTGAACGTGGAAGTCCAGGGATATGGTAGAGGATGGTTTTCATTTCCCCAAAGCTTTTCCTTTATGCACCATCAATGGGAAAGAACTAGACTATCCTTTGGGCGGTGAACATAATTTTCAAAGCCTCCCGAGCCGTCAGTTGATGTTTGTGCACCTCCCGTCCGCTGCAGCTTCCCCGTGTTGCTGTTTGTGTAACGGGAAGCAGCAATTGACAGCTGCAGCTGAGGTGACTGCCCGCTGTACTGGTGCAGCTTTGTGGCGGCCCGTTGCCAATCCACCAACAACAACATGAACACCCCAAAAACGAACACCATCTCCGGCATGTGGCCCCAGCTGTGGCACCCATACATCTCCAGACGCCGATCATGATCTCGAACATTTGAAGCGGAGAAGCGGATACCACTTGAGATGAGATTACATACTTCTTCAGCACCCGTTCAGGCACTCCCGCGCTGGTCAAAGCACTACGTACGCGATTGAATCGGATGAACTATTACAGCATTTCAAGTTCGTCCTTTGACTACGGATAACTCCCATGAAACATCCGTGGGGTCGATTGTTCTGGCCAGAACACAACAAATCGAAGGGCACCGTCGTTAAACCGCCTTCTGCCGGCGACATATGAAAGCCCAGCTGCCTTTCAGACAACAGACTACTATGCTGAGACCTTCAACCTTCCTGACGATGTCATTTACACGAAATATCAACCCAAGCCCCGGTGCCCTTGCACCTGATTGTCAGACTTCCCGCTGCGTACAAGGTTATCCTGTCCTGTCAGTCGACAGAGGAGTCCACTCAGAGATGGGCCCTCTACCCACAACTACAGTTGCGAAATATAACCCCTCATTCTGCCGAGTCTTTTCAACAATTAATAGCCCGATTAGCTCAGCTGGTTAGAGCGTCGTACTAATATCAGAATTCTGATATCAAGTCAATGCGAAGGTCAACAGTTCAATCCTGTTATTGGGCATATCTTTTTCCAATTTCTTTTTGTTAACTTTACGGGGATGGAGCTCTCCTCATATTTATTCTCTTTCTCTTTTTTTTCCCCTGTGCTTTTCGCTCAACAACAGCCGCAGTCCTTGAAGGAGAAAAGAAGGCACGACTCTGTCAACCCAGCCTGCTCTGCTGTTGCATCTCTGCCTGTCTTGGAGGCTAGCTCGGGCTTGAACAAAGTTCAGTATCGCATATTGGAGCAATCGAGGGTTGAATCAACAGCTGCCTCTCAAAAGTCAAATCAAACCCGACCCGGTGATACAAGATCAAGAACGCGGAGCAGGCGAAAGGGAAAACAGTTAATGGGTCGGCCCAAACAAACACGAAACGTGACCGGCGGCGAGCCAGACCCGCTCTGAGGCATCTCGTGCCGCCGCGGCGAAGATGAACCAAAACAAAACAGCATGCGATGACTTGATCGTCAGCCATTCTTGCTCACTGGGCATTCTTGCTGATTCTGCTTTAAAGTGGCAATGGTCATATCAGCACTAGGGGAGTCCAAAATCCCGCGCAGTGCTGATGAAGCTGGCGTCGTTGACTAGTCCATTGGGAATACTGAGGAGCTGAGAGCCTTGAACGCTTGTGCAAGCATATTTCGGCGAATCGGAGGTCATCAAGGTTAATAGAGGCTTGAGTTGGGGCACCAATTCAGCCACGCCTCTTGGTGTTACAGCCCTGCCCTCCAGCTGGTCTCCTAGATCTCACTTGAGCAGCGAGACAGAAGGACCGCGCATCAACTCATCGGAGGGAAACACAAGTTCCGCACAGATGCTCGGGACTTTACCAGGAGCGTCAATGTCCGATCATAGTTAGCCTTCTTCTTGATGGGCCTAATATGATATAAATGCTTAAACCCTCCACAGATTTTCAAGGACGGCTGTTCATCTCGTTTTTCTTAGCACTCGTTCTTTTTTCATCTCCGCATTCTGGCCGCTCTAGTTGCCTACAGTGTCCAGTCTTCTGCAAGGCATCAGTCAAAACAAACCCTACGAATCAAGGAACACTGATTTCGCATGTTTCAACAGAGGAGATGGACCATACTTTCCTGTAATCAGAAAACGTGTGTCCAGTGTTGCCCTTAGAGACTTCCCCCCAGAGCTTTAAGTGTCTACCCCACCAAACGGAGCATCAGTGCCTGTTCTGCGACATCCTGGGAAGAGGATAGAGGAGGAACACGAGAAGGATGAGGGGATGAGAACAAAGGCATCATTCATGCCTACGCTCTTGAGAACTTTGCATCGGAAGTCTGTGGGTTCGAAAGCAAGGCTTCGGATATATTGTCATGACACTCTGCAACTGCATCCGAATGAGTGTTCGTCTACCTAAGCCTTGCCCGGGGACAAAATAATCGACCTCCCGGGAACCACTCAAGTCCACACGGGACGTGCTATGTTTACATTGCAATGGTGCAAGTAAGCATACACGACAGGACTCCTTCAAACTCATTGCAAATAATCAGAGAGTCTAAAGCGGGGTCAAGGCTATTGAAAACGCCATGGTAAGCCCTGTGATGGTATGTCCTTGATTTACGGTTGCTTATGTTGAGCTGCAGAACCAAGGCACTGAAGGATTTCATGGGGTCAACGTGAAGTCTTCGATACCAACGCCAGTGTTTATGGGTATTAGTGACTTCAACGGAATCTTTCTGTAATCTATCCCGAGCGATATTAACCATGGTGGTCATGTACCTTCTTGTGCCAGGCATGGGTATGATGTCCCTGAAGTACTTGTTTCCATGGCGAGCAGATCAAGTCACTCTTATTGGCTGGTGAATAAGATACGGTAGGCGTGGAAGGTCACACCACTAGATCCTTCGATGCCACAACACTCGGTTGAGCTTATACTGGACCAATGGTGGCAGGATCCCCCATGTGAAGACTGAAGCATGTCATCACAGGCAACGGGGCTCGGACTTCGTCTCCTTGGGGGATCAGTCCGTACCCAAACTTCCCAAAACCGTCACCCAGACGGTTCGACTTTCCCATCTCCCTTCCCATGATGGATGCTTTTACTCATCCGCTATCTCGCGGCACGGATCGATCCCGCATTCATATGAGCCGAAAGCAAGAGCCGGGAGTGCTCAAGGGCTTACAGAATGGTATTTCAAATTTCGCATCTAACCCCTCGGATTGATTCTCTAGGCCTACTATGGCTCAGATGCTCAATGAAGGAACGGCAGCATTCACCAAACCACATCATTCACCGTAGGATTCGGATAGTAAACAAAATGACCCCCCGCTCACGGCTGCGAGATCGTCAGTACCTTACATCCCCCAAAGTGCGAAGCTGAAATCTTTCGACAACGGTTTGCACTAACAAAAGTTCTCCACAGATCAAAGCTCACAAACATACCGTGCCTATGTGCCTGTCTGGTCTTGGACCCCTTATCACAGAGTAAAGAACTGAGCACAAAGACCCCTAGTCTGCACTGCGCAACTAGCATGGTGGTGGGCGTAGCTGATGTCTCAACATCACGGATCTGACATACCCGCAACGGGTAAATCTTCAACGATAGCCTTATGCGGGACGCCACCGCTTCCTATTTGAGAGGTTAGTAGGGCCAAAGTCCCGTCCCCCACTCCCTGGTTCCAGAAAGAGGCGGGTACTATCCCGTCGGTGATAAGGAGACAGTCCTCGGCTTGTTACCTTCTTTTGGGTGTGCTCTATCATCCAAGTGAAATGTGCCATGAGGACGAGTCAGGCACCCCTCGTGGGTTGTAGGCTACCGCCATCTGTTAGTTTGTTGCTTCCTTTTTCTGTATAGCCAAGTCTTATTCTCCATAGACTAAAGATCCAAGCGGATCACATTTCACCTCGTATCGCCCTTGGAGCTACTGGAAATCAGATAGTCCATTAGGGCTCAACGGCACGAGGCAGTTGGCTCTGCGTTAGTCCTACCACTGTTCACCGATGAATGTGGGAATCGGTCTCTCTTTGGCCGTCTTACTCTGTTCTCTATATGACCCCGATCCATCTGAAGTCAGAATCCTTCACCTTGGCCCAATCACATGTCTTGCTTCCCCCACACCCTTCCTTTCCTGGTTACAAAAGTACTAAGCAAAAGTACTACCTCCAAGCACACCTTTCCCAACTTTGCATGCTCTTATCTCACTCAGAGGCGTCATGTTCCCCTCTTCTCTTACTTCATGGCAGCCAAGAAGGCACGATCCTTCGCTTACCCGCGCGCCAAAGCCGTGAAAAGCTTAGTATGAAGGGTGCTCCCGTTACCGAAGCCGGTTGCCGTCTCTTAGTAGATGATGGGTTCTGGACGTTCCCCATACGGAGCACATGTAAACGCAGCCGTTAGTACCATACTATCCCTCAAGCAGACTGAGCATGTCTCCCGATGACCCTACCGAAGGTACTGGGCCCCTTCTCTACATTCTCTTCAGGTTTCGGGTTGTTAGCCCGGATGGTATTTTTGCTTCCCCATGGGAATCTGCTCAGGGAGCTCACTGTACCAAGGAAACATGGTACCACAAAGGGATCGATGTTGTGATCCTGAATAGTCGACGGGAGTTCACTTCGGTATTCCAAATCCATCTGAGCCTCAGAGACTCAATTCGATTTATACATCCATCCAGCTTCTTTCAGCCTTCAATGCTGGGTTCTTGTTTTATGTGTTTACCATATCACATCAACAAGTTCAACGTTTCAATTTCCTCGGCTTCGAGACTGCATTCAGCCCGTTTCAATATCAGAGGATCACACCAGCACTGTGTTAACTCAGACCCTAATTCACAAAAAGTCCATCACACCGAGTGCAACAGACTTCCCCGCAGAAACCTTATCTACGCAACACCAACAGAACGTCTATAACAAAGGGTCTCTGTCACCCACTTGCAATCTACGCATACCACACAAAGGTACCCCAGCACCACCACACTCAATCACGTACCTTAAGATGGGTCCGAGCAGAGACGCCTGTGACCGGTGTCACACCATGAAGACCCGGTGTCAACGAACTCCACAAACCCGAGAATGTGTACGATGCAACCGACTCGGAATCTCGTGTACTTACTCGCCTCCGGGCCGGACCGGCCGCCCATTGGGTGCTCGCAAGGGGAGTTCGGAGAAGGGCAAGAAAGAAGCGGCCGCAAAGAGCAGTGAGTCCCCCGTATCCTCAATTCTCGAAGGACAATTTTACTAACGTAATCACACAGGAAAAGGACAAGTTCCACACATGGTAAAGACGCACATGTCTGCATCACTAGGAATGCCGACGCCTGGACTCGGCCACAGTCTGCCGATGATGGCCGACGGGAACTCAGGTGTAGACCCGAGTCTCCTCGGTGACTTCGATCTGTTTTCCGCTTCTGCTTACCAAGCCGAGCTCGACTACCTTTCCTTCCCCTTCATGGATTCTTTCCTCGCTGAAAGCTCCGGTGACCTCACATTTGCACTTGCGAGCGCCATGGATTCGCATCCTCCTCATTCTTCTGGTTCTTCCAGCCCTTCTGGCTCATCTATGCACTCCCCGGTGACACCACAGCAACAGTCGTCCCACCACTCTTCCAGCCATGATCACCACCGCGCTTGGAGCATAAACAGTACCAGCACCGAATTCTCAGACCTGGACTCGCCATTCCCTCTCTTTACGGAAAACATCTTTTCCCCATCCTTCATTCCCAAGCAGCCCCAAAACCAAAGACACTCTTTCCCCTCGGAAGAGCACAGTTGTGACGGCGAGGGCAATGGAGACATCCACATCCGTCTTCTTGACCTGCAAACTCGCATATCCAACCTCGTCAAGAACCTCCACGAAGGCCGCGGCTCGTCAAACGACTGCAAAGACATTCTTGGCGCGGGCAAGTCGCTCATCAACCTCCTGGACGGCGTTTCTATTCCCTCTAGGATGTTCGCCACCCCATCTTCATCGCCATTCTCTTCCGAGCCAACTAGTCCCATGTCCTCCGGCAGCTCTACCCATTTCTCATCATCGTCGTCGTCATCGTCACCCTCGTTGCCTTCCAGAGCCGCAGTCCCCAACAACATGATCATTCTTTCCCTCTCCAGCTGCTACGCAACTCTGCTCCACGCTTACGAGGTGCTGGTGGATTCTATGCATCATCAGCATCAACATCATCAACATCAAAGTCATAACAATAGGAAATACAACCAAAACACACACACAAACACGCCACTGCTCAGTCCCGCATCGTCCATCTCCTCTTTCTCATCGAAAGAACAGCAGGGTTACTTCTTCAGCAGCAACCTTGACAATAGCAACAATGCCCACCACCTCAAAGCCATGGCTCAGATGGTTCAAAAACTCAAACATGCCTTGCAACGTTGTATGGTGAGAATGGGTCGAGGTCAGGGTCGGGGTCGGGGTCAGGGAAGCAGCACTAAGAAGAAGGAAATGAATAACATGGACGGATGCACCGCAAGTGATGACATGTTGATGGGACTGTCGAGGCCGGAATTGCTGGAGATGGGGTGGGGAGAGGAGGATGAGTTGTTTATGCAGCAGCAGCAGCCGTTTATGAGCTGGTGATGATGATGATGATGTTCCAAGTTGAATACATCTTTTGCAATTATCTTTTCCCCATTCCACAAACACTCTTTCTTGGCTTATCCTAGGTAGAGGAGTCTGGGTACCTCTATTTATCCTTCGTTGAAAAGGAAGCATTGGGACGGCGTTTGGGCGATGTTTTGGGGGTGGTCTTGATGAAGACATACCTAGGATATATAGAGGGTTATTTACGTATGTCTAAATGAGGAATGCACATAACAATCAATCAGAGAAAGAGGTGAGATCCAAAAATACGTGAAACAAACAGCAAGAGTTTCTACCTATTCCATCCATTCATCTCGTTCGATTTCGTCAGGCACGGACTTCCATCCCGATCTGTCTTTCATCCCAATCTCCTACCCGTTCCGGCGGAGAGCCCATGCCGTGCATTCCTTCGACGACAATGTAGATAAACCCCAAGTATATCGCTTATAGCAAGCATGTTCACAATTAATCAGCTACAGAGCAAAAACTGCGAGCTCTGGCAACCGTAGACGGAGTGGCGTTCGTTCAGCTGAGGCTTAGGACTAGGCAAGGAAAGATCTAGATTGGACCAGTGATAGTGAAACACCCTTTGTTAAGTAATACGCTTTGACCTTCTTTCATCTGAAATCACACAAAGCCCGCATGGCTCAGTGGTAGAGCGCATCACTAGTAATGATGAGGTCGTCAGTTCGATTCTGGCTGTGGGCATCCAACTGTTCTTTTTGTCTTTTCTTACTTTTTTGAAGATCACCATCTTTTTTCATTTATTCCATTTCTTTCTTGTATACATACAATTTCTGAGCATTCATCCCACTTGGCTGACTTTCCGTTTTCCTGTTTAGGTTAGAACCACCCCTTTTGTCAAGGTTCGCAAGTGTCAGCCTTTTTTTTTCTGAACAAGTGAATGATGATGTTTATCGTAATGATGATTCATTCTTCTATGGGTCTAAGTCTAGACGATCTATCTTTATGTGCGCTCACTTGCCTGCCCTGTACAGAAATAATGAAAATAACCAATGAGTCAAGAAGAGAGGATAGAAAGAGGTAAGTAGAACGGAGAAACGAAAACCAAAGAAAAAGTCTAGCGTGATGGTCGTTAGGTAGTCATAAGAAGAGAAAGTGAAGAAGAAAAAACATGAAAGAAGATGAAAGTCGAATTAACAAAGCCCATGCAACCATCATACTCCAAGAACTCCCTGGCCAAAGCCGCCTCTAATGCACCCCATTCAAGGTATCATGGACAGCAAACAGCGAGCCATTTCAAACCGCGCCAGCGCAACCATCACTCTCACCTCATCATCGACTCCAACACACTCCCCGCCTTGATTTCCATCTCCTCAAACTCCGCCTCATCCGTACTCTGAATAGTAACCGCCCCACCGGCACCAATCCTCCACACTTCCTGTTCCTCCAGCTTATTCCTCACCAACGTCCTGATAACCACCGAAAAGTCACCCGCGCCACCAACATCCATATACCCCAACACGCCCGCATAGATGCCCCTCGGCCTCTTCTCCAAGTCGACCAGGATTTCGCACGACCTCTTCTTGGGCGCACCCGTCATCGACCCCGGCGGCAGCGAGTTCTTGAGCACATGCAGACCCCTGGGGGCACCGGGTAGTTCGGCGGGCGGCAGCTGCCCCTCGATGACGGACACCAGCTGGTACACCTTTTCGTACTCCTCCATGACCATCAGTTTCGAAACCCACGTGTTGTCTGCGCCGACGACGCCTGACAAGTCGTGGCGGATGAGGTCGACGATCATGAGGTTCTCGGCGCGCTCCTTGCTGCTGTTGAGGATCTCGCTGGCGATGGAGTGGGTCATCCCGGGACCCTTCTTCACAGTGCCTTTGATGGGCCGGAACTGGCAGTGGCCGCCGCGCGACCAAGACAGGAAACGCTCGGGGCTGGTGCCGACGATGGATACGTCGGGCAGGTTTAGGTAGGCACCGTGCGGGGCTGGGTTGTTGAGGCGCATCTTCTTGTAGAGGGACCAGGCGTCAAGGGACGAGTCATTGGAGGAGGAGGAGGAGGAGGAGGAGGATGGGCCAGAGGGGATGACGATGGAGCTCTCGTCTGTCAGGCAGAGCTCGTAGGAGTCGCCGGATCGGAGATGGTCTTGGCAATCTCGGACTTGGGCGCGGTAGGAATCACCGGTTGGGCGGGTGATGGTGGAGCGGGCGAGAGTGTCCTCGAGGAGACGAGACTCTGAGCTGGGACATGTCAGTTTGTTGGAGGCAGCAGAAACGGAGTCGATGAGGCTGCCGACGCGGAGAATCCAGGTCCAGTCGTTGGGAAGAAGTGATTGGACGTAGATCTGGTTGGTATGGTGATCGATAACGATGCTGCGGTGGATGAAAGCAAAGTTGATGTCGGGGATAGCTGAGCCATCGGTGGCCTTTTCAGGAAGCTTGACATTGATGGTCTCAAGCCCGGCCTCGTACGAGATGTACCCCATGAAACCGCCCCAGAAGGGGCTGTCGGCGGGCAGGTGACCGGCAATGAACCTATCCATATCCGAACGGAGCTTGGACCGATCGATCTCCTGGTTCTGGGGATAATAAAGATCGAGAGCCTCCTGGAAGAGCGGCCAGCACTCATCGATCGAATCGATGTTCTTGGTGTAATTGCCATATTTGAGCGTGCGGTCGTACGAACTGTAGGTCACGTTCGTGGTCTTACCAGGGACGGAGAGACCAAGAATGTCGAAACGACCCATGTTGTGTCCTTGAGAGTCCAGAAGAATGACCTCGTCATCTCGGTGACCGAGCTTCTCTAGAAGAACAGTAGGGGTCACACCCTGAGCCGGGTATTTGGCCCAACGGAGAAATATGTCATCACGGCCGGCGGCCGAGCGCAGTTCTTGAGCGAGGTGTGAAGCTTTCAGGTTATGGGACTGAACAGGCGCGTCGACGAAGGGACGGGATAACGAGTTGGGAAGATAACGACCCGTGAGCTTCTCGGTCTGAACCCGGCCATTGTTGGCCGACCACCGGAGAGCATGCCTCCACCAGTTCACGAGCATGTCCTTGCCGGCTTCTGAGGTGCAGATGGATTCGGGATGAAACTGACACCCCCAGAACGGCTTGGTAGCATGGCGCACAGCCATCAAGACGGGGCCGTTATTCTCATCACTGAGATCCCATGCCAGAGGCAACAGGTCAGGGCACACATCGTTTGGCTGCCAAAAGTGGGTTGCGGGAGCTCCCGTCAGCTCGAGGTCGGCATGAAGCGAGTGATATTGGGTGCAATCGAGATCGCCGAGTCCCTTGAGAATATCGGTGCTCTGGTGCGTAGATCGGCTGACAATGCCATGGCGGGGGCTCTTGAGTTTCTTGACATCGGCACCATGGTTGAGGCACAGAGACTGGAAGCCGAGGCAGATGCCGAAGATAGGAAGGAGTTCCGAGTCGCTGAGAGCCCAGAGCTTGTTGATGAAGCCGACATCTTGGGGGTTCCCAGGATGACCGGGCCCGGGCCCGATGACAACGCCATCTACGGCCCGAAGTAGTGTGTTAAGGTCCTTGTCAGCCTGCTTGTCATCGATGCGAACCATGATGACATTTGCGCCTAGACGCTCCTCGAGAAGACCAATGATGTTGTTTGTGAAAGAGTCGAAACAGTCGACATAGAGGATGGAGAGTTGCTCATCGAGCGGCGTGGTTATTGTTACTGAGCCCATGATGATTGTGGTGTGAAAAAACGCGTGAGGTGGAAGTCAAAACGAAGCCGCGAAGAAGAGCCGGACCAGGCGACTGATATATTGGCGAGATACAAAGTGGAGCCTGTGTGACTGATAATGGAATATTTCGAGAATGCGTCTTGCGTTGTCGGCGTACCCTGTGGAGTTGTCTTGTGTTTGAAGCTGTCGAGACTGTTGATGAAAACCCATAGTTGGTGGCAGAATCAGAGTATAAATGGACGTTGAACAACGTCGAAACCATGCCCAGAATACCGAAAATATCAGCCGACCAAAGCCATCAACAACCCACTTACAATGATATCGAATCCTTCCATACCCATCAATGCAAGACCGTCCGTGTAGGAGAATGTACCTAGACTCGGCGACTTGCCGTTTTTCTTGTGGCAAAAGGAAATCGCTTGTTTGGCTACAGTCGATTAGAGACTCAACCCGGGCGAGTTTGATAGAGAATTGGTGCATAGTACCGAAATCGGTACCTTAGCCCGGTACCGACACGGTCGATTTGCATCCTAAGAGCGTACATGGCGAACTGAAACCGTGTTGGACCGGAGTTGAAAGGGCCGGACGGAGTATGGAGAAAACTGCACGACTACCTGCCTACTACATGTTAGATGGCGGGTTTGACTTACACAGAAGTAGATGGGAAAGCCAACATGGATGGTTTAGAAGAAGATAAAGATACTTACTGCAACGGGTCGGACATAAGGCGCCTCACGAAGAATGGGAAACTCGGCCAGTCAGATGGGAATCTTATGACAGCGGATAGCGGTCTCCAACCAGTAGGGTGGTAATAGACATCTGCAAGTTTACTCCAGCCTTTGCCATGAAAGAAGCAGCATGCCCATGCCTCCATCCGCTCATGCCCGCGATCCTTCCAGATATGGTGTATGGCGTATAGTGCCGGAGTGCGTTTCCGGTGTAATGATAACAAGATTGCTGAGCGGCTAAATCAACAATTGCTTGCAGGTAAGAATTGCGTTTAACATGCCTGTTGGACCTAGGTTGTAGTGTAGTAGAAGCTTTCGGGGAAGAGAGGCAGGACTGAAGCCAAAGCGATGCTTTGTGTAGCACCCGGCGGCTTTTGCGGGGGTTCGCGGAGGATTTTAAAGGTCACTTACCTACCTAGCTAGGTACCCATGCATCTGCTGTGTGACGGTGCGGCTGTCATCACCACCCTTTTCGAGTCGCAAGCTATTGTAGCATGGCACATGCTACCACACGTTGTCGAGACGTGATGGCCTGTATGCTCTTCGCTTCATGTCTTCTCACCCTCTGGTGCCAATGCCAGTCAAGCTTCGAACCCTGGCCGCGGGGAAACCGAATGGAAGGATCGCCGCGCAGGTATGAGGATGATTTTGGGCCTATGGTAATCTTGACTCTGCCGCGTTTTAGAGATGAGAATATGCAGTGGTTGGTGGCTTTGCTGTCTTGGTGACTTGCAGGAAAGCGTTGCGCCAAAACGGGAACCGTCCACGTAAACACACCGTCATCGTAGCATACTGTTCAGTTAATCGATCCTTCCGGTACTCCATGACGGCAGAACCGTGACAAGAAGGGAATGGCTGCAGGCCATCTCGTATATAGCTACTATTATGGGCCCTTCAAGGTGTTAGAAGTCAAAGGTTGGCGCTCTTGTTAACAGTATCGGTCAACTCCCAATAACATCCGTTCTAAAACCCGAAGGCAGATTCATTTGTGATACTGCTCTTCACGAAAATTACTCTTTCACACCCACGCAGGTGGGTATGGTAGTTTTCCTTTTCCTTTTCCTTTTCCTTTTCCTTTTCCTTTTCTTTTCCTTTTTCTTTTTCTTTTTCTTTTTCTTTTTCTTTTTCTTTTTCTTTTTCTTTTTCTTTTTCTTTTTCTTTTTCTTTTTCGCTTTCGCACGGGATACATGTTGGGATCGCCCGGAAGGGGGTAGGACTACACAGCTGCGAAGTCCTTGTGTAAACGGCTTAATCTGGGTACCGCACCGCAAGTTTGTCTTTTTGGGATGGGGCCTTGCGGTCCGTGATCGTGAATGCGGACTAATGGCAGCTTTAGACCTCACCCATAGTTTTGAGAGTCTTGGCATCTGCTTTGATTGGCAGGACATGTGCCACAGTTTTAAGGGTCCATCCCAAATCTCATTGATTCGAACACAGCCTACACACGGTCAGCGACATAGACTTCATATTTGACCGCTGTTCAGTGGTAGAGTGGCACATCGCTTCATGGGTGGTACGGCAGTGGCTGGGGCTCAGTTGATGCCGTATGTCGGGGACTTTTGCCATCGGTACCTTACATAAGGTAACTTTTCCATGTCGTGAGAATCGGATTCTGAGTACCCCTGTACCGAACCTTGCTGTCTTTGATGCATATTCGATCCCGGCATGGAGCCTCTTTGGTACGGAGATAGAAGCTGTACTAGAAATTCTCGAGAGTTTCCCCGGCTGACCTGTGGAGACTCTTGGCAAACAGGCTTGTGGGAGTTTGTGACTTGGGCAGTAGAATAACTCCTTAGTACTGAGACAGAGGGTTGAATGGGTGAAGTGACCCAGACTCCTGTTAGACAGCAAGTGACCTCAGTGGGACCGGTCTCCACATACCTTAGTTCAGGGGTGAAGTAAACAAAAAGACATGGGAAACGGCCGATGCTCTGGTCCCATAAGTCGCAAGAGCAGGGACGACCAGCACAACCTGCAGCTTTGTCATAGTCAGCTACTCGGAGACTTGTTTTGCCCAGGTGGACGGTAATAGATATCGGTATGTGCCGTGCTGGTTGGCAACATGCCGAGCCGGCACCCGAACCGTGAACAGTCGTGGTCGACGGTGGGTTAGGGGAGTCGCAGATAGTCGTAGCTTGGTGATAGTGTGGAGGAGGCGCGGTAATGTCCTCTTCCGTCTTCAGCCCAATTTTGGAACGGCAAGCTCTGACGAGAGTACGTAGTAGCCCGATTTCGAGGAGCCTTCTTCCCGGCTTCCATTGCCGCGACACTATCCGCGTGCCATAAGCTAGATTATGGATCCAGCTCGTGGCACATCACCATGGGTAGGGCTATGCAGGCAGCGCGGCAGCTGTGAGCGGGAAGAAGGTCTGTGGCTTCAGATTCGAATTGTGTGGCGGCTCGTAAGATCGGGGTTGGGTGTCTTAGGGGTGCAGCGGAAAACCCCCCTGATGATCCTCCTGGTAAGCCCTGCCAAGGCTTGCTTACGCGAAGTCTTACATGGCGATAACATCGTGGCCTCCGCCATTTCTGGACCCTGCAAGCAAATAATCACTTTGGGGCTGAGTGTTTGAGGTACGTACCTAACATCGTTTCGTGACATACCCTGAGTGAAATATGTCTCCTTCGCCGCGTACCATGCGAGGACGTTGTTTATGGTTTCGGCTGCCATTTCCGGGAATTGTGAGTGGAAAGCCACAACCACTGATCAGCCGAAGCGATTACCAACTGGTCAGGGGTAGGTAGCTATCCGGGAAGAGCCGCACTCGCTCATGCTGTTGTTTGAGAAGTTAAATGTCCCTGACTCCCAGTATTTTCCCCATTTGCTGACCATTCCCGAGTAAGGGTATCCGTAAGGTCGGCGTATTTAGATACGTATGAAGAGGGTGATGTCCAGGACGAGAACAGGTGTGTGACTGCTTCTGGGGTTGGTGGTCTATCGTCCTGCGTTGCTAATAGACGGTATCGTGTAGAGCCGCGGACAGAGCATGTGTTCGATTCTCGAGAAGTCATGTTGTCCTGTCACCAAGTGCCTAGTGTAGGCAATTTCCTGGACCCATGACAGTATGAACAGAGAGCAAAGTAAGGCTGATATGGTAATGGGCACTGGAGACAGGGTGAGGATTGGCTTTTATAGCCTTGGAAGTTTGCCTGCTGTGTCTCATGGGCACGAAACTGACGAGCAGATTGAAGTTTGATGAGACCCTTTTTAGCCCAGGACTGCTCATCGATGGCAATCTCCTGTCAATTCATGTGGTTGGAGATGGTGAAAACTCGCCGAGTCGTCGTACACGGACCAGCGCAGAACTATTGTAGCTTCACCAAGGGGACGAGAATCGAAGCCGGTTCATTCAAACGTTGTGAAGTCATTCTCCTTTAGGCAATGATCCGTTGAGCGGCTCTTTGGGACTGCTGTCGTCGACATGATGATGACTTCCAGAAGTCCCGAAAGAGAAGCCGGACCGTACGAGGCTCATCGACGTATCGTGCCCCTCTCGCCTTTGCTCCCGCTCCCGGATCTGGCCGATATTGGGACCACGGAGGAGACAGACGACTGTTAAATCTTGTCAGATATTCGTGGATTACATATTACTCCGTAGTGCCGCTGACCAGAGCGGATGACCCATGGGAGAATTTCGATCAACCCCATGAGCCAAGAAAAACTACGCGATTCATATCGTTGAACCTGCATCCAAATACCCATAAGTTTCGGTCACAGGGTAATAACAACAACTTCTTCGCTAAAGGGTCATGACTAACCTAAAAACATGTCAAAATATCCGTACTTTTGATCGCTCTGGACCATCAGATGACAAAATAACCCGACTTGGTACCGGAACTGGTCTGCTGGACTTGAAGTGTTCCTGCTTAGGGCTCACGTGCATCTCATCCTTTCCTGTCTGCACACCTACGTTGATCCTTCCTCGCAAGGAAAACCATATCTGAGGTGCCTTCTGGTTGGCTGCGGTGACCGCGTTTATCTCATCTTCCTGTTGAGCAAATTCTTCTCCCGACTTCTTCTTTCAAGCGGCTTTTCCTCAACATCACCTCAAACTTCACAAAAACACAATTACTAGTTGCTGTCAAGTGGTAACAACAAGTACAAAAGTATACCATCCATCTCCTTCCAGTCCTTTATCTGCCCCTGGGCGTGCAAAAAGTCTTGGGCTCCGAGATATCGGGCACCTACCAGTACTGCCTTCCCGACTTTGGAAAGGCAGATAAGTACCCACCCGGTACTTCGCAGCCGCTCCTTCCTCAGAAAGTCACAATTCGCGTCTCCCAACCCACCCGCACTTTTCATAGCGCGTTGGGTCGCCGAGTCCACTCCTTCTTCTCTTCACCTTCCCTCGCAAAAAACCTTCCTTCCGCTGCCCACATCTTTTCTTTAGTGGCACAGCTCAAGATTGTGTCAAGTGTCGCAGCCTCGGGCTCTCTCCTTCATTATATCCATCTCCATACTTCTTTCCTTTACCGTCACAACGCCGTGAGTATTGCAAGGCGATACTTCTTCGGGACCCGTTTTTCGAGACAACCGCGACTAACCCTGCTTGTCTAGTGGACCGCAGAGTCCAAGACGCCCTCGGAGAAATGGCGGGCAGCACCGGCGTCCGACTCTCGGACAACGCTGATGAAGTCCATCCGACCCCTCCTCATCGCTCTATTTTCCGCCGCGGCGCTGCCTATGCGACCGATGCGATCAATGGCGGGGTTGACTTTGTCAACCGCAAGGTTAGCGACACATACATCGGTCGCTTCTTCCGCCTTCGCGGATCAGGTCATGTCAGTATTCTTCGACGTTGTATTCCAGATTCATGGACATAGACTGACTGATAATCCGATCACCTTTAGCCCCAGGAGATCAGAGATGCGAACTTCTGCACCGAAATCCGCGCCGGACTAATCACATTTTCCACCATGCTCTACGTTTTGGCCGCCAATGTACGCTTCCTCTCTCTCAATTTTAGGAAGACGTGTCTAACAAACCAACTCGAACATAGCCGGCTGTCATTGCCGCCTCGGGTTACGAGTGTAGCTGCCTGGGAGAGGATAAGGGCAAGCCACATTGTTCCATGGATTACTCAACCTGCACCGAAGGTCAGTAAGAAGCCGGACTTGCTCTTCTCTTGGACTTGTAGTATTGACAGATAGCCAGAACTCCGTCGCGATATGGTCACAGTGACCGCCGCCGTTACAGCCATGTCTTGCATCCTTATTGGCTTGACGACCAATATGCCCTTGGCTGTGGCGTAAGTTGCGAACATTGTCATATCCAACATGTTTCAAAATCGCTGACAATAGAACAGACCTGGAATGGGCCTCAACTCCTATTTCGCGTATCAGGTCATCGGTATCAGAGGATCTGGCTTGCTACCCTGGCGTACTGCTCTCACGGCCGTGTTTCTCGAGGGCTGGATCTTCATCATCCTTGCCTTGACCGGCCTTCGTCACTGGCTCGTCAGAATCATTCCGCCCACTATGAAGGTCGCGGGCGTCTGTGGCATTGGTTTGTTCCTTGCCTTGACTGGTCTGACTTTCAATACTGGACTTGGTATCATTACCAGTGGAAACGTCGTGCCGATCTCGCTGGCTGTTTGTGACAATCCTAACGAGCAGGCCCAGTGTACTGGTACGAGCGCCATCGCGAGCCCCAAGGTAACGTAACCCGTCTTCTTCGGCTTCTTCAACCTTCTTACAAGCAATAGTTATGGCTCGGCATTCTTGGAGGAGGCATCTTGCCAGCTGTCCTGATGGGCTTCAATAACAAATACTCCATTGGCATTGGTGTACTCTTCGTCACTCTCATGTCCATCCCGTAAGTGATCTCAGTTGGACCGAAACAAGATCAGGGACTGACCATCGCACCATTCAGACGCTCGACATCCGTGACCTTCTTCCCTTACGACTCCGCTGGTCAGAACAAATGGGATTACTTCTCCAGCATGGTCGGAGTGCGCAAGACGGGGTTCGACATGTTTCAGCTGCGATTTGACCTCCACCACCATGAAGGCAACTTCATCGCTGCCCTCCTTACCATGCTCTACGTCGACATGATCGACTGCACCGCAACGCTTCAGGGACTAGCGAGATACACCTACAGACTCCAGGGACTCGACCCCGACTTTCCCGGCTCCACCATCGCATATTGCACCAACGCTTTCTGCATCTCTATGGGAGCCCTTCTGGGATCATCTCCTGTCACGGTTTATGTCGAAAGCGGCGCCGGAGCCCAGTCGGGTGGCCGTACTGGAATAGCGGCGATTGTGACTGGATTATGCTTCCTGTCCGCGGTGTTCCTTGCGCCATTCTTTTCTGGTATCCCCCCATATGCCACTGGACCGGCCCTGATCCTGGTAAGGATAATATTTCCCCTAAAAGTGTATTGTACTGACGGACGTGGGGTAGATCGGTTTCCTGATGTTGCGGCAAATTGGCAGCATCAACTGGAATTATGCTGGCGACGCCATTCCCTCCTTTGTCACGATCATGTTCATTCCTTTTAGCTACAGTGTCGCATATGGCCTCATCGCGTAAGTTCCCGAACCCCATAGATGCCCGTTGACAAAGCTGACACGCTCTCAAAGGGGTCTTTTTACGTACATCATTGTGAACGGCTTGATGTGGATTATCTCGCAACTCACTGGGGTCGAGCCTCATGACTACCAACTGAAGCAATACTGGACAATCAATCCCGCCGGTCGGAAGCCATGGGTTTATAGAGCCTACAAGTATGTCAGGGCCAAGATGCAGAAGAACAAAAGCCAGGCAACCGAGGAAGTTGCTGTGCAGGAGTTCGAACTGATGGAACGCCACGCTTCCCGCCAGAGTCGCCCCAGATCTGCGGTAGCTTCTGCGTCAACAATGGATGATAAACACTCGCGCAAAGCCCAGTCGCCGGATCGTTTTCGCTCTAACTGAAGAAATTGCGAGCATCCGAGTAAGGGTTACCGTTGAGCAGCAAGGAGGAACATGACTTCCTACAGCTGATCATTACCCAGGAATCGAAAAGAGGCGAGCTTACCATGCGTTTAGGAATGACTTGGGCAATACCACTTGGTCTTGAAGGCGTTCAGGAGGATTGGCATATGAATGCATGAAATGGAGTTGGGGGATTATCTTGCTTTTCTTCTTTTTCTTCTCATATGTGACTAGGGTTTGTTTCATGATCAAAGAAAGACCTCAACACGGCAGCTACCGCTCGACACGAGTGGATGATCATGTAGACCGCCAAATTTTTGTACTGTACTTCAAGCAACAACATGGGCGCCCTGCGGTCGGATGGAAATCGCCAGATGCGAAACGTGGGAAGTTTGCATTTCTTCTTCGCGGGAGTGGGGTCTGGGGATGGCGTGCGCCGTGGCGTCCTTGCTTCTCATCATTCGTTAACGGCTGTCGTCTCGGCTGTCGTCGGGCGGCTTTTATGCCGAGAAAAGAGCCCTCCTCGTCCGAGCAGGTCCTCATTGTAGACCATATATAGGTCTAATGAATCGTATCTCGAAACGCCAAGCTGCTCGAGTGTTGATGTCGTGATCATAAACGAAGCCCTGCGTCATCCGTCCACCGGCGGAACTCGGCAACATTCTGTCATCAGGGGGATCCACGGAAAGAGGTTTGCCGCGTAAGGTACCCCCGTGGATGTGAGCTTGTCGTCTTTGAACAGGTTCTAATGACGGGGATCAATTTCGCCACGAGAGATTTGAAATCCGGGAAACATGATCGTCGGGAGGAAAATATCATGTCAGGGGAATGGTGGATGTTGAAGTTTATATGTAAATGCGGAGAGACGTTTCCGAGTTCCGACGAGCTCGGACATTTAATAACGTCAACACTCTGGACCCCTCTAGAGAACTTGACTCCTGGAGCTTCAGCTTGAGCTCTTCTTGAGGTTCGAAAGTGGATGATGAATAAAAGGAGTCCGAGCTCCAGGCAGAACGTGGGAGACCCCACGGGAGCATAGACGGGGATTGTGGATGTTATGGATGTTATATGGATGATGGAGATGATGGAGATGATGGAGATGATGAAAGGCCAAACAGAGCGAGGTGGGTTGGCAGGGCGGGGCAACGGTCCGGTTAAATCTGTTATATACCCAAAAGCCCAATGTTCACCAATGTCTTTCAGTGACCACGCAAGTACGAGTATAGGAATGAGGGCATTTGAATTTTCGGAAAAGTCTATTAGAAGGCCGAGGGGCTTGGAAGTACGTTTAGTGGTTTTGGGGACGGAGAAAATTAAGACACTCAGCTGTTCCGATGAGCCCTGCCGGTAGAATGGCCGTCGTCGATTGAGTTCACTTCGTTTGTTCCATTCCCTATGAGGCGCATTTGTTACCCTAGAGATACCACAGCCGTGGGAACTCACCTGCCATCGATTTTAATCTCAAGGTTCAAAAGGAAAACAAGTCATTGATCTTTTTGGGGCTTGGTGTCGGTGATTGACGCCTTCGAGATTTGGTAATGTCGAAGGCACAGGAAAGTCTCACGTTGGTTCGTGCTACTTGGTGGCTTTGTGTCAGAAATGAGGGTTTACAGGGGTGCTGATGCAACCTGTCTTGTGTAATCTAGCGGGTCGGTTGCTCGGGCAATAACCCAGATTTCTGGTGCGGCATTTACTGGGCACAGATCTCTACAGAATACACAAGTCTTCTCACCACATCGATTTGACCCCTGCACGTGCTTATATTCTACATTTTGCTGCGAATTTGATGTACGTGTAGGTACCGTAGATTTAAGGCAGGCACGAAGGAAGACGCCAAGGATGCGCTAGACTCGTTGGAGTAAATATGGAAATCGGGGAAGGGTCCACTTCCCTGCACGGGTTTGACTTAAATGTGGAGACGATTTACAGGCAGACGCAGGGGTTTGAGGGGAAACAAAACGGCGCGAAACGGCCGAAACGGCAAGACAGTACAGGAATTGTCGTTCTTTCCAGTCGTGGTGAACCACTCACGAAGGATGCATGTTGTAAGGTATGCACTCAATTTGTTCCATCCTTTGATCCATTCGTCGACTTGCAGATGGCTGGGCTATCGTCCCATCGTCCCGCGGCGCAGCCGCGAAACCCAGGTCCAGAGACACCTCCAGCTCCAACCGACGACAACTACATAACTCGAACACGAAGCGACTCGAACGCGAAGCGACTCGGACCATCCCATCGTGAGAGTTGAGATGAATTGATGCATTGGCATGAAATGACCAGAAAGAGGCGGAAAAGAGGGCTGGCACAGATGATGTTCACGGCCGACGACCGAACGGGAAAGGGTGATGACCCCGCGCGCGCGTGTGAACGAACGAGATCCCACGACGAACGAAACGAAGGAACGAAAAGAACGTTGTGCGACCGAGCGAAAGAACGAAGGAAACAAAGATTGCGAACGGCTCGCGAATGACTGGTGAACCTCCCTCCCGCCCACCCGCCACTCCGACCAGCTGCTGCGCGGACCCTTTCCTCCGTGTCACGTTGTGGTAAGGTAGGTGTAGGTAAATAATTATCACGACTCTAGATTTCTTCTCACGGTATGTCTTGGGGTACTCATTGTCTTCAACCACCATGATCCCCGGAGATCCAATGCCCGTCATCCTGGCGCGCGGAAGATTGACCTTGCTTATGCGGGCAATATACCGCAATGCATTTTCCAATGTTCATTTCGTTCCAATTGACACAGACACCACCGGCACTTGGAGATTCTCGAGAGATTGTCGCTGTTCACGCACAGACGGACTGACGGCAACTACACGTTGACCCGACGTTGTTGGTGAACTTTGGGGCTCCCGAAACCGCGGCATCGGGGAGGGTCACCGGGCGTCGGGCGAGGGTCCATGTGCTTCCCTAGCCAAGACCGGCGCCGACTTGCGGACTTGGCAGGACGAATTTTCTGCTTGGATCGAGATTCTTCACCGGACGGTAACTGGAAGATGTCAGTCTGTCGTCAGCTCATCCGTGCTAAACGGGTCGTGTCGTGTCGTGTACTCGTCTCGTTGCTTGTTGCAAGCTAGTTTCGAAATCTCCCTTTACTGGTGGTGTGGGTAAAATGATGACCGGCATCGATGGTACCGTTTTAAAAGATTCTTACCCCGGGATTCTTGGCTTATACGAACAGCCACCACTCTAGGGCTTGTTCCGACGACAAGGTCGCTTCGTTTACATGGATTTATTTTTCTGACAGCGGCATTCTACAGGGCAGAATGGCTACTGGGGAGAGAGGGACTGGGATTTGGGATCAACCAACGTTGCATTCTCTTGAGATGGGAAATGTACCAAATGTACCAAATGTGCAGCTATCCCCAAATGGGATATTCCCGGTATTCTCGTAACTTTGTAACCGACGATCCGTTTTTGAAACAGATTTGGGGGATGATGCTGAGACCCCTGCAACATCTGGGTCGGGGTCGATACCCCGCGTCTACCAAGATCACCCACACTTCATTTCTCATCTCTCTTTCCCCCTTCGCTGACATGCGGAGGAGGGAGAAGGGAGGAGATCCTTTACTTAGATCTTCGTTAAAAAGATCAAGGCCCGAGCGGACTTACTGACAATGGGCCTTTCTTGGTTGTCGTCGACTATAAGAAATAAGAGAAGAAGATGAGAGAGAAGTTAACAATTTATTGGAGAGAAAACAAGGCTACGAATAATCGTGGAGAAAAAGCTAGCTAAGTGTAGTAGTACTAGAAAGTAGGCCTAGTCTGGCAAGCAGAGTTAAAGGTCGTATACTGGCTGAGCGAAACACAGCTCCTCTAGTATTACGTAAGGAGAAAGAAAGAAGTAAAAATCTATATATATATATCTCTGATATCACTATTTTGTATAGTATTAATTACTTTAATACCAAAAATCCGCGTTCCAACCCTTATTATCTCTATTAATTACTCATGTCCTTTTTAATATTTTCTAATTTTAGAAGCGGAAACCATACTTAATTATTATATAAAGCACTTATACACTCACTTATCAAATTCATTTTATTAATTTGTCTACTATCATACTCCTACTTATGATATAAATTAAATAAAAGGTTTTCTTTACTACTATACTGATAATTCATTTATAATAAAAGTCCAAGTAGTAATTTACAGCAATTTAGGCCGAGTTTAAGATAATATACTTTATATTAACCAAATCTGTAAATAGAATTTGCGATTCTAGTTAGTAAAAACTACCCTCCTCCAACATATTCCTTGCTTAATATAATACTTTTACTGTTGGAATCAAGTTTACGAATTCTGGTTCTTACGTTAATAAAATAATTAGTATGAATTTTTTCAATTTCCAAATTGCAAAGGAACTAGCTAATATAATATTGTAGCCTCCTACTGAAATTCTAATTAGTAAATTATTTGCAAACGAAGCATTGTTGTGTTAATACGGGAATTGTAGAATTTACACTCAATACAGAAGGTTACGAGAGTAAGGCTATATTGTATGTAAAAAATAGATAAAAGAGAGATTCTCTCAGAAGAAAGACCTGGCTTCCAGCTAGCCGTCTGCACGTAGTGGATATGCAGCGCAGCGAGCTAGGTAGCTCGAGCGTAGAGCAACAGCTAAGCAGGCACCAAAGCCTCCATAGCAGCCTAGCTAATCTGAGCTGTCATGACGAGTATAAGCTATAATATAGGGTATGGCTAACGATACCAGGAATCCAGAGATTCTGGTATCATGTGTACATATAGCTTAAAATTAACAATAAACTATTTACTATATTACATTTCAATTCTCTATTTATATTAGTACTTAAATATTACTATAAATAATAATCTAATTTCTAGGACTCTATTGACAGTTTAACATTTGCTTGGTATAATTTTATTATTACTTATATAATATCCAATCTATTATATAATAATAGAAAACTTAAAGAATGAATATAATGTTAGTAATATTTTATACTTCTTTCCAATTTTGATACTTCTTACCTGAACTTAGTGAATTCAAACATATTAAGCAGCTATATTATAAATACTATATTTAGATTTTCTTTTCCGCATTTTTTTCATATATTTTCTATATATATCTCCTAATTTAAATGAATCTAATAGTTATAAAAACCAGATAGAAGTGGGAGGAGCAGGGTTCAAACTCATAATCTTTTAGATTATACTAAAGATAAACTAAGCTCAGATCTTTCCAACTAAACTATCTTCTTAGTTAATTATATAGCTTTTTTTTAAATAAGAAAAGCATCATAAAGTTAGCTTATATTATATCATATACCTAGTGTCATAGTACTGGCGGACTACTATACCACTAGGCTATATTCCAAAAAGATACAAGCAATTGAAGCTGGTAGTTTAGTCGCTCAAGTGGTCTTATATAGTTTGTCTTGGAAGAGGCACCTGAGTGCATTCTGTAACATTTCCTTCCTTACATTGAGAGGTTTGCCCCAAATCTCGACCTCCTCGGGATACTATGCTAGCCAGCGACGGTTCCTAGGAGCCGATCGAACTTTTCGAACGAGAATTCTCAATTAAGCGACAGCAGAGCATCTATACAACCTGGTCGTGTGCATCTCCGTAAAAGGGAACCTATATAAGAGTATCCGAAAAATCCAAAGATTTTCCCAACTACGAGGTTCGAACTTGTAGCTTTTTAGCTTCAGTTAAGTGTCACGGCGCTGGCGGACCACTACATCACTAAGCTATGTTTGAAAAGAATACAAGTAACTGAAGCTGGCAGTTTGGTTACTCAAGTGGTCTTATATAATTTGTTCCAGAAGAGGCATCCCGAGTGCATTTCGTGACAAGTAATTAATAATCTTCTAAATAAAAAGTTAATATTAAAATTAAATTATAATCAGTAAAATCAGTTATATAATTTAAGGGAAAAAGTAAATAAAACGTTTTAATGTAACTTAATTTGCATAACATTCTTATAATGTAATTCTAACTTTAATTACGATGAAGGGTATTGCTTTTCAATCTAACTTAGTTATTTAATAAGAAGTTTCAATCTTTAGCAATTTCAATGATAAGTAGCGTCTTTCAATCTTTAGCAATTTCAATGATAAGTAGCGTCTTTCAATCTTTAGCAATTTCAATGATAAGTAGCGTCTTTCAATCTTTAGAAATTAGTTTAATAATAAAAAATATTTTGATCCTTAGCAATTATAATGATAGTTTTTGTTAGTTATTATCGTAAAGAATAACTACAACAGCTTTCAAAGATCGCTATCGCAAATAATAAATGCAACAGCTTTTCAAATTCGTTACAAACGTTGCAGAAAGTATAATAGTATTCAAATAAATGTACACTTTTGCATAAAAGAGCTTATAACCTCTTAGACTATAGAAAATAAGGGAAAGAAGGCGGGAGAGAAAGCAAGAGAGAAGTTAATAATATATTGAAGAGAAGACAAAGCTACGAACGATCGCAGGAAAAAAGCTAGCTAAGTGTGGTGGTGCTGCGAAGTGGGCCCAGTCCGGCAGGCACGGCTTTCAAGAGGTTGCCACATGGGAGAGATTCCTCACGGACCTTCCATCACCGTCTTGTCTTGTTAACTTCATGTATTTGGCACCTCCATTTTTCTCTGCACAGTCCTCTGGCTTAACTCATCTTGAAGCTTTGCGCAGTCGGACTTTGTGGGATATGTGATCTCATCATCTTCGTCAGCTTCACCCTCCTCCCTCTTTACCTGTCATCTGGTTATTGGAACATAAAAAAACAACACCTCTGTTGCCGTTCACAGGGAAGGTTCACAGTGATGGCTAAATATTTCTTTTGCAAGTCCCGTACCAAATTACACCTCTTCTTCCACACGCACCATGGATTTCAACAACAAGTGAAGGACGCATGAAGCACAAGGACGGTCCATCACTTTCCTTCCAATTTGTTCAAGGCGACGCAGGTACAACCCGACCACTTTGACCGATCCAACCAACCAGCGGGCAGAGCTTATTTTTGCCGGGACTTTCCTCACTTTACCGGCTTACCTTGCTCCTTCCTAAGTTGTCTACCTTCCAGGTAGTTCGACCTTGCGAGGCAGTCGTCAACAACATCCTTGTCCGGAATTTCTGGTGTCTTACCCGGATCCCTTCAGGTTCCCAGTCCTTCCAGGCTTTCTCAGGGGACCAACTGTACCAAGACAATATCATCCTAGAAATACCTTGAGCCACACTGGTTGATCCTCGGTCCTCCACAAGGCGCTTCGCACTCTCACATTCCCTCTCCTCTCGGCCTTGGCTCGGACGACGACCATATATACACCTCAACATCCAACACCATCTTAGAGGACCACGGCTTTTAGGGCCTCTTGAAACATACCACCGCTGGAATACGGATCTGAGCTACGAGTGGAGGGCAACGGAACGAGAACATCAGACGGGCGCACAACCCCCGACCTCGGGGCTGGCGGGAGAACCCTCAACCCTCCCCTTCCTTCTGTCTGATATTTTCTTGACCTTCTTTTCCTGCCCCTCCCTTCCCGCATCATCCTGGATCAAACCTCATCTCCGCTCCTTGGATCTTTTTGCACACTTTTCTCTGAAGGCTGTTACAGCCAGAGAACGCCATTCCCTTCCATCATCTCTGGATCCGTTAGTTGTCACCAGTACTCGGATCACAACCCAAGACCGCTTTTTCTATCACGCCAATATATCCGACGACTTCTTGACGACTCCCTGGTCTCCCTCAAAATCCTCTTGCGCCGTTGCGCACCAATCCCCACCATGTTGACCGACCAAGACGCCGACTGGCCGAACGCCCATCACCATGCCGGCAGCCATGACACTTTTAACATGATTGAGCGTGTCTGCTCAGTTTTCTCACTACTCGGCTGTTTCTTCATCATCTTCACCTTTTGTTTCTCCAAGAGGTTTCGGAAACCCATCAACCGCTTGGCCTTCTTCGCAACCTTTGGCAATCTCGCAACCAACGTCGCAACATTGATGGGAAGATCCTTCGTCGACAAGGCGGACGGAGCGGGCTGCCAGGTGCAGGCGTTTTTGATCCAGATGTCAGTTAGCAGTACCCTCATCCAACTTGACAGGCTGCTAACAGATTTTCCTATCACAGGTTCATGCCGGCGGACGCGTTCTGGGTGTTGGCGATGGCTTTCAACGTATTTCTAATCTTTGAGCACCAGTACGATGCCCATAAGCTGAGGTCAATGGAGAAGTTTTACTTCCTAGGCTGCTATGGTCTGACATTCATCACCGCTTTGGTGTACTGCTTCATCTCGACGCCTACTAGGGGAAAGATGTATGGGAATGCAACACTATGGTGCTGGATTAGTCCAAAATGGGATATCTTCCGCATTGCAACCTTCTATGGTCCTGTCTGGTAGGTCAACGCACTGCTCTCCAAATATTTGCAAATCCATCTAACCTTGGATTGCATAGGGTTTCCATTGGTTTTACATTCTTCATCTACCTCCGCGCAGGAAGAGACATCTACAAGAACCACCGACAGATCAAGAAGTTCCACATCAGCAGCTCTTACAGTGGAACGGTTGATGAAACTATGCAATCCCGCAAAATCACAGAGGTCTCCGTCACTCACGAGATGGCTAACCGGAATGGTATCGGACTCGTGGACCTCGAGAGAAACAACCGCGCACAAGAACGCTCTGGCGACCCGGCACCTCCAAGGGTACCGCCCAATGCTTATTCCGTCACCATTTCGGCAGATACCCAGAGACCTCCAGAAACTCCCGACGGCGAAAACTTGGCACGCACAACCACAATCACTGGAGGGCTGTCTGGGTCTGCGAATACAGGCCAGCGCACAAAGTCTCGCCAGAACAACAGCGCAATCTGGCATTATACCAAATGCGCACTGTTCTTCTTCACAGCATTGTTGATCACATGGATACCCTCGAGTTGCAACCGTGTCTACTCCGTGGTTCACCATAACCAAACGGTGAAGGTCCTCGAATTAATGGGCGCTGGGGTCCTGCCGCTACAGGGCTTCTGGAATGCAGTCATCTATGCAGTCACGTCTTGGAAGGCATGTGGGAAGTTCTTCGGCGAGGATGTGAAGGATTGGTTCTCAGGGGACCCGGAGTCTGGCAACAAACTACGTCGCGATGGAAGTCATTACCACCACAGCACCTCGCGCGTTATCATTGGGCAGGTCGCTAGTGTTGGGATCAACCCGTTCCACAAGATGGGCGGCCGGACGGGCCTTGCGAGTCCAGAGACGGAGAGCATGGAGGAATTGGCGGCGTGTGGGAGCCGCAGGAGCTCGTACGGAATGGGGAGCGACGGTATTTCCAAAGATGTGAGATAATATCGGCGGCCGTTGGGAATTATGTTCTCCTCTGGGTATTTGGTTCACCAGAAGCAAGCGATCATGTGCTTTTTGGTTTACGGTCCATCATGACAGCCGTGTTCATGGCATTTCTTTTTCTTTGTCACCATTAACAGGTTTATTTGTCAGGCATCTTCTTTTCGTCAGCGTCTCTGGTAGTATTTGTCTTGATACCCAATTTCACACAAAAGTCCATGTTTCTAGGGTTACATATGAGCGTTTATAATACTTCAGATCTAGGTATATGAAATGCTACGCTACGTATGTATATACAAGATCAGGGAGGCTGGTTCGAAACACCGTGATTGGGAACACAAAAGGGAACTCCCGCGTTGATATGCCTTGTTTCGCCCTGCTTTGCCGTTGCAGTTGCATCTTTGTCTGACGTTCCAACGGTAATCGTCCTACGTTCTACGTCCTACGTGCTAAGTGCCGGTGGGACAGGGGTCGGGTGTTTTTGTGTACTCGAAGGAGATTGACTGGTTACCGTTGCGGAATAAACGAGTACTTGCAGAAAATGTTCGTCACCAAGTAACAAATAAAGAGTAATGAGTGTGAAGTATGAGAAAAGAATGGACATCTACCATGCGGAAATGCCCTCTACCATAGATTGTAGAGGTAAAAGGTTGATTGAATTTGAAGCGGATAATTGACCAATGACAGGTTCATTACCTTTTTCTTTTTGACTACGTACCAAGTACGCACGCACTCCCCCTTCGCTATCAAAGCAACGAGACAGGTCTTCCTCTCCTTATATCTTGCATACCTACATATGTCCAGGAGGTATGTAGAAGAAGAAACCTTTACCTCCACAGAGGTAGGGAGCCTCACCTCTGACGCGAGTGTCGTAAGTGTCGCAGAGAGAGGAAAGGAAGGAAGTCGTGCACATACATGTCTTACTGTCTCGTGTGTAGGTTTCCGAATAACACCCGCTCTTGCTGTTTCCCGCTTGTGTCTGTGTCTGTGTCTGTGTCTGTGTTCGGGACAGGTTTGACGTGACGGGATGGGACGGGATAGGTGTCTGACAGGTTGGTTGACAGTTGATGGTTGACAGGCGGTTAGGTTAGGTACCTAGGTTACAAGTTGGAAACCGAGGGTAGGCTAGGTGTTACACGATTTCAACAGTGGATAAGATGAAGTCTCGACATTTTCTTTCTGTAGTGGGGGGCATCTTCTAGGTACTGTTGCGTGAAGTAAGGAGGTGTCTCGTTTGTCTCGAATCTTGAAGTTCATTATTCGTGGGTGGGCCTCCTGCCTGCGGTCATAGGCCGAGAGTCTGTCTACAACTCTGTTTTGGAGTGACAGGCGAGAGAAAAGTGCATATCCAAGGTGACCTTCTTTCTGCTACGCTACTACGATTCTCAGACCTTGCTTACTAGTACTGAGGTCTACTTCGGCAGATGTGAGTAAGTATCCAGCTGCTTGGGTCAGGGGAAGCTACAGAATCGACCTCTTGGACTTCAGTTGGTTGTTCGCCTTGCCTTATGTAATGTATGAGACATGGACTTGCTGCTAGGTATAATGCCGCGGGCCAAACTAAAGAACTAAGCGAACCTTTACCCCTGAATTGGCCAGGAACCGCTGGTAGGCTGGCAGCTAATGGGATTTGAAGAGCGGTCGGGAAATGTCATGCAGTTGGTTCTCCAGAACTTGAATGATCAGTTGTAGCGAGAAGGGTCGAGATTGTACGTTTTGACGGACGTTGGTAGGTTGATGCCCCTGAGTTCAAAGAAGTAAGGATGTTGTGTAACTGGTTCATCTTTTCCTTGTGAGGTTCGAGACTGATCGTCTTGTTTATCCTATCTCTCCATCTTTGCTACAGAAACTCCGTGGATATATCGGCACAGAACACTTGAAGAAGTAAGCAAGTTCGTTTCGGTTATCTTGTTCAATTTTGCTCGATCTTCAAACAGGGCCGAATAAAGGGTCTGCATACGAACAAGCTTTCTCTTCAATTCAGGGGAAGTGGTTTTTCCTTACGTAGTTGATTAACTAAGCTTCGAAACCTGGTCCTTGATCACTGTTCTATCTTTACCAGGTCTTGACCAGCTTAGGTAAAAGAGCACTAGACTTGTAATGGGGATCCAGAAAGAAAGTACACCAGGCTCCAAGGGGAGGGAGGGAATACGTAGTTCACCATGCTTATTTCCGAGAACTTTTAAAGAATGCCACCGAAGGGCCGGGGTCAGTTTCAATACATACCGGACATTATCCCCGAAGTCTTGAAACTCCCCTCATAAACATTTGTCCATCATCACCAACTCTTCCCATTCGTGGAATGATACCCCTTTCCCATGGAACCATCTTCCCAAGTTTTAAGCAATACCAAGCTTAGCCCAAGAGCGGCCAAGAGTCTCCATTACTTGCGGATCGCATGATTCCACTCTGAATTTCTGGGGAGCTGGGGAAGTAAAAAACATGAAGATCCGGGGATCGCAACAAACTACCCACTTTGCCCTGAAAATGGAGTCAAGTCAAGTCATAAAAATCCCACAACTCATTCTCAAGATCCCCAATCGCAATTCCTATTCCCGAAGTTTTTCATAGAACATTTGCTGGGAGTTACCCTGACGATCTTTAGTCACGCTTTGCTGTTTTCGGTGTTAGTAACTGGAGGTTGAAAGTGATCGGGTGGTGGTGGGGTGGGCAGGGGGGTTAGTGTAGGGGAACACTGGGGCCGGGTAGCCAAATGGCCGGGGGGTAATTAAGCGAAGCGAAACGGAGGGCTGGCCGTTTGGGGGACTCCGTTTTGGTCACTGTTGGTGTGAAGGTTGGGGTGCTAACTGTTTGGGAACTGGGGAAGTCATGCGATTGTTGAGCTGGAGTTGGATACATAAATGGTATTGTTTTTGGGTGATGGCCTTTGGTGTGTGGGAGTTGTAACAAAACAGTTTCTGAGGGAGACACTCACTGTCATTTTCCCCTTTAGACAGACTCTTTGTCTTGCATTTCTGTCTCCTTCTGCCCGTTCCTCCCGTTAAGCAGAGCGACGAAATATTACAGACGATGGGAGTGTCGAACTTCTCCAACTTCAACGGAAAAGCGACGACCCTGACTGATGTCCTCTGGAAAAACGAATGGTGGTGTGATCAAGTTGCATCTCAACGGAACGTCATCGCACGATTTCCGAAGCCTTTTGCCTGTTTGAGGTTTACCTCCCGAGCCTCCCAAGCCTCAGCCCTCCAAGCTCCCTGGATGGAAGCCAAGATATCTTCCCGGGGCCAGATGCTTCTAACTTCTGACTGGACAAGGACAATATTGCGAGTGAAAGTGGGGTGAGGTCGGGTGGGTTACCTTGAACCAAACTTCTCTTTGATTCACTTTGGAAGTTTGGGTCTTCTTCCAGACCTCCCCGGGCGCCGTTGGTTCGAGAAAGAGACTCTCTAAACCCATGCTTCCGTTGTTGCAGTCAGCCTCCGTGCGCGTGCCCGTGAAAGAACCGAAGAAAAGTTACCAGTGAGCGAGTTGCTGTCGCCTTCTTCCCCTTGGGACTATCATTGTTGGGGTCCCGACATAATGGATGGGCCGTCAAAAATCATGCCACTATTCCCTGCAAGCTACTACGCTTCGTGTATCGCGTTTGATTCCCCGGCCTACAACAGACAGGGGAGTTCGCATGTTAACCAACCGCTGTTGTTACCAGCTGGAGGGAAACGGTTCCTTTCCCGCTTCTTCCCGGTCCAGTTAAACTAGAAATGAATATACGATTTCATGTGATGATGCGTATTGTTAGTGAACGAGTGGTGCCCTGAGGAAGGTCGATGATTGGGTATTGTGAAACGCAGTCGTTGTGAATCCAGTCTCTTTGAAGTCCTGGTCCAATGGGCTTGATGGACTCAATGGCCGACTGCAGTAGAACAACGTCTGTTCGTCGGCCTTTGTTTTCTATCACAATGTTGGGAAAGACACCCAGCTATTAAGAGAACATTGCTTGCTGAGATCTGACACCTCGCTCATGAGCTATAATCTGCACAGATACCGGAGTTTCTATGCTATTCTGTAGATTGCTGGAACAGTGTAACTTGTTCGAGTTCACTTTATGTGGCTCGAAGACTTATTGTTCGACTGAAAGAAATAGACATTACTCTTGTAGTTGCTCGCCCTGTCCAGGCAGACGAACGGACACGATGATGACTTGATGTCACAAGAAGTTTCGACCAGCATGTGGGAACGAGAGGAACTGCTCTTGCGAAAGGGTCGAGCGCTTACCTATAGCATATATACCACCATCGATGTCACCCCCAACCAAGTCGGGGGTTCACCTCTGTAGTACCAGTCAAGGTTCTTGGAGAGACACCCGATATAGCCAAGTTCGTCAGCAGATATCCACCATGGGAGACAGGAAGGATCACAGTTGCCGAGGAGGTAAGAAACACAAAGATGCCGACGCCCCAAGACGTAAAACGCCTCTCGACTCCGACACCGACATGTTCGGCGCTCCATCCCTGTGGTGTAAGAAGAAATCCCATCATCGTCCCGAAACGAAGAGTCGCCGATCCGGGAAAGGAGCAGACGTAGGTGAGAAGCCACGGCAGAAGCATCGAAGCTTTTACTCTCCCCTCTCCCGTTTCTTCAAGATGACTTCCAATCATCGCCATCGCAAAACCACGACACCAACCCGCGATCCCAGAGCCAGGCATAGGTTTGGACTTGGATATAGCACGCCTCCTCCTCCTCCTCCGCCTCCGCCACTCAAACGATCATCGCCGTATACTCCCCCCAGGTACCTCCACAGCCAAATGACGCCAACTTCATTCCGCAGAACGCCATATCGCACGCCTGTATCACCCGTCCAAGCCTCTCTCGACTTTAGCGCTTCCAGCACCCCCAGTACTACCTCCTCCTCGACCGTTCGGCCACCATCCAACCCTGCCCTTGATCCCAGTTGTGAATCCTGTTTCAAAACGCATCACCTCAACGCCTCCCTCCGGAAATCCCTCCTCGCCCACACTCGCGAATTGTACGCACTCTTACAAACTTGGTCCAACGAAGCGGGCATCGGCGACGGCATGACCCCGATCGATCCAATGGAGTGGCAACCAGAAAAGGCAGCGGTAGTGATAGAGAAGGAGCGCAGGCCGAGCGAGATGTGCAGGGTATTGATGAAGATGGGGAGCGTGGAGGATTGGGTTCGGGTTATGAGGGAGCTGGAGGAGAAGGAAGGGGGGCAGAAGATGGAGGGGGTAAAGGAGAGTTTAGAACGGAACGGAGAAGATATGATGGACAGAGAAGGAGAAGGGGTTAGTGGGTTTGGTGGGATAAGGGGTGAGTATTGTTTGAGATATCGCAGGATGGCTGTGGATGAGGGAGGCGGAATGGGTTGATAGGTTGAGGTATTTGTGGGAATAGTGCTGGGTCGGGACTTAAAGTTGCGCAGGGAGTGTGGAGTTGGCGGACGCCGGCCATTGCGGAGAAGAAGCCATCACGGGCCGCTCCGTGGAACGGGGCCGTCGCCGGAAAAGTGGAGACCTCTTTGACAGGTAGCGGGGCCGGAGCGACGGCGGTCGGGTGAGGTGGATAGAGGTTCCGGACTTCCGGCTATGCGATTGGGGTCGGAATTGGAGAGAGCAACGCCGCCGCGAGAAATGTTGGTGTTGCGAATAGGAAGATTTTAACGACTATCGTCGGGACGCGGTTCAAGAAAAGGTTGGAAAGTCGGAGCACAATGTCATTTCCAGAAGAAATGGAAGCGCATGATCAACAAAATGCATTGCATTGACATGGCATCTTGGCGTTTTGAACTTGTTAAGCTGACGCATGCAGTGATTGATGCAATGAGCTTTTGAGATATAAAATCCGAAGGTTGACAGGTCAAGATAATCCAGGCGCGGTACTTCTGACCGTCACGTGAGGTCAATCGTGCTGTCATTTCGAGATGATGGCTGTTGCACGGCGTCGTTCGTCCTTTCCTTTCCCAAACTTCTCACCGAAAACTGTCACGGTGGCTGGAGATGTTCCCCTTGTCCCCTCATTTTTGAGGCTCATCCAGGTTTGTTGAGATGTGATTGGTTGATACCCCTGGTTGTCGCAAAGAAGGCAACATCGGCGGGCAGCCGAGAGAAGTGGTTGCCTTGTCTTGGTGTCGGCTGTGTCAGTATGTCCCTTTTGTAGTGGTCACCCCCGCTGCCGACGTCGATGTCATCAGCGGATACGTCCCTGGGAGTGTCTGGGGCCTTACAGGGCCTCAATCGAACATGGGCCTCTGGAATTGGGGCTCTGCGGGCCTCTCAGCCAGTCCAGTTGGGAGTCCTCAATTTCCCGACCGCAGGCATCTCAGTCCATGTCTCCCACTTTCAACATCCGACAACGACGAGCACGACGTCCATCACCAGATCCAGCGCGTGCACCTCGCAACGGCAGCGTGCTTCTAATCCATCATTTCTCATCATTTTCGTCGTGACCGACGTCCAAATCTGGTATCCCGTGACCCCGCTTGCTGTCAATCTGCGACCGCCATTATTTCACAATCCAAGTACACCGAATGCGCTGACGGAAACACGGCTATCGTGGGATTTCGCTTTCGCTCTCTTTTTGAGGTCAGGGCTCTGATACGATCCCGGGCCTCTTTTGTTTGCTCTCGAAAAAGAGGAGAACCCAGTACCTGTCTGGGCCAAAGGGGACATCCCCCTCCTCATCATATACTCTCAACCCCCAACCTACCCAAAGGAAAGGGCAACCAACCGGCCACACTCCCTTCATCAATCCATCCCACCATCATCACAGTCCGAATATGCTTTGTTAGGCAACAACAAGGCGTCGAACCGAGTGAACCGCGATCTATCAGTCTTGTTTAATAAACAGGCATCATCCTGACTACAAGGCATCCTCTCAATCGTTAGTACAGCGTCATGTTTTAGTCTCTCGTGCTTCACCTTCCTTTCACTCCTTTGTCCTTTTTTCTCAACTGGGATATGACGATATCAACACGACTCTCTTGTCTGTTGTTGCCGTGTCCAATTGCCGTCTTGCGCGGATGTTACATTCATGGAGGTGTAGTAAAGGGTCATGGAGATGGCTAACACACCCCCAGTCGAGGAGACTGACTAGTGTTGCCCATCATGTCACAATATCACTATAGCCAACAGGGCCGGTATGAGGTAGGGCGACCCACAAACTTCCCTCAGTTCATCATGAGGAACTTTGAACCGCATCGAGTCGTCTCTAACAACACATGCTAGCCCTACCAATACAACGGCCAGTCTGGCCAGGGTACACACTCTCCTGGATTGCTCGACTCTCCGTCTATCAACATGTCCAACACTACGACTACTATGGCACCTGGTAATCATGGATATGGAAGCACCCTATCCACTACCGCGACCACCGGTCAAGCCTCCCGTGCGGGCTTTATCGTGGACCAACAATTCCAGAAAGAACATGATGCGCCAACCCAAGGGAATGGGCGCTATGTGCTATTGGATCAATTCTTACACGATCCCAGTGCTGCCTGGAATCCCATGAAGTCTCTGGGCGTCAGCCAAAATGCCAACATCACTGTCAACCCCGTATACCCCGACTATCGTGATAACCATGCGCCATCCGAGTGTGATACTGCCGCTGACCGCGCCGGAGTCTTCTCCGACTCTGGATATGGTAGTATAGCCAGGCAAAGTGTCGGGAACCCTTCCGTGTACGGGGACATGGACCGTGCCGGCGATAGCCAAATCATGCTCCAAATGTCACAGTTCCAGCTTCAGCAGGATTCAAACCTCGAAACTACAGTTATGCCCAGGGACACTCTTATGCAAGACATGGAAAGCGGTGACTGGAGCCACAAGGGCAGTGCCCGTCGCCCGGATGGCAAAGGTCTGGTCTGTGAGCACTGCAAACAACCCGTCAAGACCAAGTCGGAGCTCAAGTAAGTCTCGAGTATGCTCTTTTCCTCGAACCCTTGCTTACTTCCTAACAGTAAGCACAAACAGAAACATACGAAGCCGCATCATTGCACACAACCTGGCTGCAGTCGTGGCCAAGGCTTTAGCACCAAGAACGATTTACAGAGACATATAGCGTCCGTCCACAAGATGCATACCCTCGTATATCACTGCCGTCACGGCAACTGCCCGAACAAGTCCAAAAAGGAGAAAGATTGGCCTCGGGCAGATAACTTCAGGCAACACTTGAGAAGGGTTCATCAAATTAATCTCAAGGCCGAGGACGACCTGAAGTTATACGAAGTTCAGTAAGTAATGTAACGTGGCCTGATTTGTTAGCCACTGCTTATACCTTTTTACAGCCTTCCTCAGGAGCCGGTCGTTGCCGATCCGTTGACCACCGCCTTTTTCGCGTCCCAGATGCAAACGATGCCTGAGCAAAACGGCGCTTCCTGGACTAACCAGGCACAACTGCAATACCTGAGTCACATGGCGCCTTTCACCGAAACCAGCCTTTCCGCTCCAACGGACTCTTCCCTCATCCTTCAGAGTCGAGCGGTCTCGATGAGCGAGAATGCGGATTTTCCCGCTTTGGAGAATGGCATATGGCCTGATGAAGGGGCCGCAGAGGTCAGCAGCTCCCACGTCCTTCACATGGTTTCCAGCCGCCGCGGCTCGTTGGGCACACTTGAGAGGACGAGGTCCATCTCGATCGATGAACCCTCCTCGAGTGGCCAGCAGCCTGGCTTTGAATCGGAAGTCTTGGCAGACGGACGTGAGGAGATGCCTGCGACGGCCGCTAACAGTGATGCCAGTCCTTCGATTACCACGGTTGGTATGAATCAGAGTATCCGGCCTATGTTGACTGGTAGCGGCCACTTGCCGTCTCATGATGATGGACGTGATGTCAATACCGATCAGCATCGGGAGACTACCGATGCGAAGGTTGTTGCGAGTACTCACCTTGATAATGAGCCAGCTGAAGACGAGGAGATGGATGATACGATGCCTGACATGGGTCAAGACACATCCGCGGACGACTCTGATGATGTGTCTGAGCAGCCTCGGGTCTCCGTGCTCAAGACATCCTTTGGCTTTCAGATTGGGAACTCATCCAAGCCCATCCTCGTCGAAGATGACGAGAGTGTCCGCACCATGCTTCGAGTCCTAATAGCAAAGGGTAACCTTGATCAGTTGATGGCCGAGCTTGGATACCAAAAGAAAGAGGAGAACTCTGAGCCCCAACTCCTAACCGAGAACAAGCCAGAGCCTGCACCCACCTCTGCAGCTGCAGCTGCTCCCAAGACCGGAAACACCAGCAAAAACCCCTGCTTCCTGTGCGACAAGAGCTTCAACCGCAAGTGCGAACTCAAGAAGCACCAAAAGCGCCACGACAAGCCCTACGCCTGCACCTTCCACAACTGCTCCAAAAACTTTGGCAGCAAAAACGACTGGAAGCGACACGAAAACAGTCAGCATCTGCAACTCGAGGTCTGGCGCTGCGATGAGAAGCATCAGCGCCACCAGGGCGTCAGCCTCGTCGACGACCGCACCTCAGTTTGCGGCTGGGTCGCCCACCGCCGCGAGGCCTTCCGGACTCACCTGTCCAAGGAACACCGCATAGTGGACGATCCCACCATCAAAAAGAAGGTGACAGAGTGCCACATTGGCCGCAACTGCGAGTCGCGATTCTGGTGCGGGTTTTGTCGCAAGACGATCGAGTTCCAAAAAGACAAGAAGCTGGCGTGGTCAGCGAGGTTTGACCATATCGAGGACCATTTCATTGGGAGGAACAGCGTGAAGCAGCAGACTATTAGGGATTGGGAGTTTATTGAGCCGACGACTTCGACTGTGGCTGGTGGCGGTACTGGTGGTGGTGGTGGTGGTGGTGCCATTGGGAAGAATGTGCCTGGGAGCGAAAAAGAAAAAGAGCGAGAGGTGGTTGATTTAACTACTGAGCAGACAGGGGAGGATTTGGAAACTCGGAGTTCTTTAAGCTCTTCTTCTTCGAGTTCCTCCTCCTGCCAGGGGCGGATGCAATCTCTGAAGCGCCGCGCGAATGCAATGGATGGAACCATAACGTCTGCTGCTGCGCCGAGAGCGAAGAAGCAGAAGAGCGGTCGGCAGAGGGAGTACCTCTGGTCTTGTGTAAGCATCCCTCAATCCCTATACACAGTGGGGGCCCCGCGCCTCTCTCTCCTCTTCTCTTCTTGGTTGTACTTACTAACCTTTATTCCCGTTCTTGTTACAGTGTACTTGTACCGGAGCCATGTACAACGTTGATACGACGCCCGGGTGCTTGGAATGCAACCATGCTCGGTGCGAGCACTGCGATCTTGAGTACCATAGGGGTCCTCAGGAGGGACATTAAGCATACCTAGGTGGCTGTTGTCATGTTGTGTTTCGGTGATACCTCTTTTTGTCAACTTTTTATATTTTCAAATTTCTTTTTGTCTCTGGAATGGCATGTTGGTCCATGTTTTTGACGATTTAAAGCAGCTTTTCGGATTAGACGAAGGGAACATGTGTGGGGGGCAAAAGAGACAAGTGGTAAGGCTGAGTCTGACTGCACTGCACTGCACAATGCAGGCCGGGCCTGTATAGTGTATGTGGCAAGATATGACGACCAGTATAAGACATGGGTTGATCCCAAATACAACAACAAACGCATTTCCCTTTTCCAAGCTCTCGCCGGTTACTTGGGCATGATCGAGTGACAAGACAGTGACAGAAATCCTTTTCGTACAACAGTGAAAGTAAACAGCAGGACAAGAAAAAGGTTGAAAGATGAAAGTTTGTGCAACGTTGTTTTAACCTTCCATATGGCCATATGAGAATTTTTGACAGGATTGTAGGACACAACACATATTGTGGTACGTAGCTCGCAGCCGCTCACGATGCGGTGCTATGCAGATGAAGAATATGTCCCGATACGGCAAAGGGGTCGAGCCGGTCGCCGAGGGGGTCCTGCGGAACGGGCGAGTAGAAAGCGGAATGAGGATTGGCATGACACTGCCGCGGAAGAAGAGGTGCAGATGCAAGATCCTGAATGTAAATGGGGTTGCTGGGTTATAGGATATCGTAAGATCTCGGCAGGTTTACTTGTGGAAGGTGTTTTGCGAGAATGGGAACAAATAGTTGGTGATATGCAATGGGCAAATGAAGGAACCGAAACTACACGGAAGGGAAGGAGTGGCTAGCGGACTGCGGGGATGGTGCTTCGTTCGTCCACTGACAGAAATGGGAGGTACCTAGAACGAGACGAGCGAAGAGTTAGTGAACGGGAAGGTGCTCTCGGGGAGGTAGGTAGGTACTCGGGTACTTAAGTCATCTCAACTGGCTGTCTCTCCGTGGTTAGGGTTCGTTGGTGTAAAAGGCAGCATCCCTGAGGTGGGAAGATCTTGCCTCTGATTGAGGTCCTTGAGGAAGATATTGGTTCGAATCCAATACGGGCCATAACCATGTGTTCTTTTTTTGCATTTTTTCTTTGACTACTTACTAATGTAAGTAGGTCTTCATTGTCATTTATCACACTTGGTTTCCATCTATCTTATTTGGTCCTTCTAGCAAACTCATGAGCATTCCGTTCTCGAACCTCGCTTACTGCGCATTTGAGGAGTGGACGACGGGATCGCGGTTTAGATAGTAATCGCAAGAAGCTCCTGATTTGGTCTTTCAGATATGCATCATACTACATCCCTGCCCATCATCAATTGCTAGGCGATGATGTTGACATTCGCGTGATCGTGCCTCTGGACCCGAGTGTCTCATGACGCTCTTCCTTGGATTTCTCCTCAACATCGTGGTCGTTCAACGCACGCTCGACCTTACCGCCAAGGTCCATAAGATCGTCGTGTCCTGCCCTCTCGTTTACGACCTTATACCATTTTAACATCCTTCCTGCAAACCCACTTGGTACGCCGGCTGTTGGCCCACACAATTGATTAGCTCAAGTTCCCAGGGTGAATATCACACCAATTCCTCAATGCGGCATAAAATAGTGTTGAAAGAAGTCAAGGGATAACTCACAAATGTTGTAGTACACATACTTGGCCAACACCGGCGCCCAAATCATTGCCGAAATCAGTTGCCGTAAGACCACAACTCAGGCCTGTTGAGCAGTCCTGACTTTCCATCCGTCGTCAACCGCCGCAAGTCATGCAAATGGAGCAATAAGCAGACCAACATGCCCAGATCCAGACAAGCCCAAGTAACACGATAGAGGATTGAGACCACAACACGTGTAAACGCGAAGAATCCACCTCGTTCCAATTGTTTCGTCCAGGGGAACTTATCTCCCAATTCTCTCAAAAACTTCCTGGGAAGAGAAATCCCAACACAAAACCTCCTCCCATCTCGCACAATCATGTCAATCATCAAAATCACCATCACCAAACTCGCTATCCATACAGGCGAAGGCACCAAAACCATGGAGAGACGATTGACTCTTGGTTAACTTGCGGCAAGGACCCGAGGCAGTAGACGGTTAACGGTGGGTTATTCCCGCACTGGGATACCGGTTCCCTCCCCTTCAGGTGGGTAAACAGTTCAGAAAAGCTTAGCAGGAAGCGGGATCACCATATCTGGATGATGATGGCTAGGCTTGTGACGAGGAGGGTTGACAAGTGGGTGTACCACCTTTTATTTGATATGGAGTTCGCGTTAGTTTGACACCTAGCCGGTATATATAGCATGGGAAGGAAGGCAGAGAGGTCAGAGGGGGGGAAGGAAGAAGAGAGATAACTACTAACCAATTTACCCCAACACGTTGCAACCCACTCTGCACTAGCAAAACCGGCAGCACACTATCGAACGCCAGCATCCTCACCAGCTCCGCGCTCATTATACTCCTCGCTATACTCCACACAGATTCCAGCGCCGGACATGAGTCGCCGTAATGCAGCGAACAGATGGATCGAGACGTGGTTGCTAGGGTGGCGGCCTGCATCGTGAGGACGAAAAAGGTCTGTGCTTCGTAGAATTCTACGGTCGCGGATATCAGGGCAGCGCTGGGCTTGGAGAGGACTAGGGATGTTTGCCACCCTTTTGATGTTGATGTTGCTTGGGCTTGGATCTGGGCATGCTTTCGACGTGTATGTGGACGTTCTGATGCGGTGCGGTGGAGAAAGACGAGCTTGCGCGGTCAGGAGTTGAAGAGTTTGATGAGGAGGAAGAAGAACAGGGTGAGGTAGCTTTGGGAGAGGTGGGATATTAGGACCTGTTATTTCTGATGACGAGGTTAGTGGGTTGTTGGGCTCGTTAAAAAAGGGGGGGAAATGGAAGGGGACATACACCAGGGCCGGCAACGTCCGAGTCAATCCTGGCTACGAACCCCTCGCAGTAATGGGCAAGTCCGGCAGAGATGATGGAAAAGTCATCAGATCCGAGAGTGGAAAGGTTACGATTATGCAGCGCGGAGAGCTCGTTTTGGGAACAGTCGGGACAAGACGCGACAGCACATTGGACTTCACCTCTCAGCATTGCATCTCCGTTGAAGTTTGTGAGATCTGCGGAAGTCACGCCGAACTGAGCGAGAGCGGTAGAATTGGTCGGTGGACCGAGGGAGAGGCTTCTGTTCTGGATCGTCAGGGCCGCCGACGAAAGGGTGATGCAGTTGGCCAACGTGGCAAGGGAGCCAAAGAGGAGGGAGATATCGACGCATGCTTGAGAGCAGTTCAATGGCGCGCCAGGGTTATTGCTGCTCGTTATCGGATCAACCGAGTGGGAGGTTTGACAACTGCCTGGAATCAGCTGTTTGGTCCATGGAGTGATGTATTTCTGCGACAGACCCGATGCTGAGGTTGTGTTGCTGATAAGATCTAAGCCGTTTGTTATGCTCGTGAAGAGGACCTCGTGTGTTTTGTTCCGGGCTATGGTCCAGTAGTAGGGTAGGTTGAGGAAATTGTCGGGGCGGAGTTGGACATCGTCTCTCATGCGCAGTCTTGATGGCGGCATCTCGATATCCACGGCAGAAGGCTCTACATTCAAGATATAATAATCAGATGAGACCCTGTGAATCTTGTACGGTTCAAGAGAGTTGATGACTTACAGGCCGACCTATATGATGGAATCTAGGGACATAATAGGTCCTCCATCCCACTACAAACCCCGCCATTGCTTCCTCTTAACCTGGGCCTTGCTTAGATCCTGGTGAAGTCCGCAGGAAACTTGGGCAGGGCTTTCGCAAAGCTGTACCCGTGGGTAAGTGTGATAACCGATATTCATTGTGTGGCGTAGCGAGAGTAGAAGGGATTCTTTGGGAGCACAGCACTAGGCATAGGGCTATCCTATTTTGCCGGTAGTTCATCCGCTTTGATTCGGGCCTTGTGAGTCGGATCGATTGGGGGCTAAAGTGATAGCGATACAACGCGATATATCCAACCAAGCGCAGCTGCGCAGGAGGGCCGTATCAGATGCTGAGTCGAGTGCTGGCAATCCAGTCGCAAAGAAAGATGAACGGAGTGAGATCGTGGTTGTAGATTGAGAAGAAATTGATGGATTGATTGGTGTAGGAAGAAGAGGACGATGTCTGCAATCCCAGGTTGAGTACCTTGCCCTAAGAACGAAAACTCTGGTGGGGGACAACTTTTGGTTAGAGTGAAAACGGACGGCTCGTACCTTCGCGCCTTCCATAAAGTGCTCACATATGTGAAAGCCCGGCAGAGAAGGTGCGACTCCATGCACCCCACGCTCCAACACTCTGGGTTGATATCCCCAAAAATGCTGCCATAGGGAAGTGAACTACAGAGGCAGTTTCGAAAGGGGAGAATGGATGGACAACTTTACTTTGAGAAAAAGTCTGCACTCTTGCAATACCGAATGAGCGACGCGAAACGGTCAATTTTTTCTTCTCCAAGTGTAAAAGAGGAGCCATGATTGTTATCAAGCAAGATGTTGACCAAAAAGAACATTGAAAACAAGTCAAAAATGTGCAATAAAAAAGTGCAAAAAACAAACAAACGTGGTTGGTCCGTATTGGATTCGAAACAATATCTTCCTCGAGGACCTCAATCAGAGGCGAGATCTTCCCACCTGAGGGATGTTGCCTTTTACCCCAACGAACCTTAACCACGGAGAGACAGCTGGTTAGGATGACTTATGTGCCCGTTTGACCCCAAGGGATAGTGGCGGGCACCTTCCTACTGACTATCGCAAGCTATGACCCTTTCATCCCAACCCAACTTTGTGATGTCTGAAAGCATCGAGTCTGGGGCCCGCAGAGCGAGAAAACTGCCCTTGTACGAACTTGAGGATTGAAAAAGTATCTAGCCAACGATGGATAAGTCTACAACCAAGCACGAACGAGATCATATCCAGAAGTTGGTCGGTCTTACGAGCGGTTCAATACCGCATCCCAATGTCGTTTTGTTTCGAGAATGATGTAAGCATTTAATGACGCTACGGCGGTATCAGTGATGCGGGCAACTTTTGTTTGTGTCACGTACTCTCACTCGAAGACGCTGCTGGAAAATTGGGGGGCTAGAAACTTGAAGCACTGCGTCCATGTTCTTGAGTGTTCAGTCATCAGCCATAAAAGTGTGTTGTAGTCATGATTGTTCTTGTATGAGGAGGATTGGTGGCTCTTCGCTGCCAGTCTGCTTCTGAACGGCCGGGTTTTCTCATGGTGAGTGCGACGGAGGTGCGGTCTGTAGCAAAGTGCTGGCCGCTTAGGGGAAAAAGAGTCAAACCCGGTAGATGGCAATGAAGGAATCGTGTACTACTCAGCTAGGTAGTCCCTGGGGGCAAAGAGACGGCGATCAGGCAACGTGACATCCAAGAAATCACGGACTATCATCACCGCAGTCCCTTCGCTACCTCACACAGCATAGATAGATGAGGAGGCAGGCAGACGGTTAGAAACCTCATCGCCCTGCATCCCCCGGCGTGCCAAACCATATCGCTGCTGTGATCGGTCAAAGGATCCAAGAGTTTGATATTATTAGTACATGATAAATGGGGAGAATCGTATCTGCACGATGTGTGATGTCGTGCGCTATACCGAATGGATAGCTCGGTCGAAGTCAGGTCGGCGGTTGTTGATGTGTGCCTGTCCTATGGTACCTTTGCTGTGTTACCTAATATTGGTGTGTGTAACGCTCGCACCGGCAAAAAGGATGGAGAAGATGGGGGGTGTTGGGGGATGCTGCTCGCTTAGAACTCTGTTCTGTACTACATCACATTGGAACCGCGCCTCGAGCTTTTCGAAGGATTTACCTAAGGTTGATGATCCCCGAACACGCGCTTGAGTTGAGGGAGGTTCAACAGGACATGGTTCGTTGTTCGGCGTAGTTACATGTCCGAAGTGCCTGTCGAGAAGCTGTGTGAATTTGATGATCATCTTACTTATTCTCTCTGAAACCCAACGCGGTGGCTGTGGCGGCTTGGCATGACCGGTGGGAGGTGATAGAAGTGATAGATCACGTGGGTTTCTCGGTTTACCCCGGAGAGGATAATAATACACCGTCATCAGAGGCTTGAAGGATGAGTACCTTGCATGGAAAGTCAAGGAGCAATAGACAGGTTGAAGGACCCCAAAACGCCAAGTGGATTATAAGCTGTTGCTGTCCCGAGCAATATGGACGAGCCCCCGTATTCAGAAGAGATTCCGAACCTTTTTTTTATCCTGTCAAAGTTCCTGGAGGACTGGGGAATCGGAGCAGGGCACTCAACTTGTAAGTATCGCCGAAAAGCCGGGGGTCCTTCCGGGGAACACCCGCCCGCCGGGTAGGGCGGTCTGGGGGAACCTATCAAGACGTCTCTACGTCGATAGATTGTCATGCTCACTCTTCCCGTAGTGAGTGGTTGGTTTGTTCGATATCCAGCTCCCAGGACTCAGTTCAATCGTCACGAACCGCTGTGTGCCCTCATAATCTTAATCATATTAGTCATGGTCACGAGTTGAGAAAACCTACAAATTTCCACTGGAATGGAAGCACGGGTAAGTAAGACCTTGAAACCCGGTGCAGCGGTCATCTCCGAGACGCGGGAGGATGGAGACGGGTTGTTCGATGAGAAAGTGAGATAGAGATCCAAAACCTTGGCACGGCACCTCGTCCGGATAGACTTATGACCAATGATGTCTCAGAATGCGGGAAGCTGAAGGAGAGGTCGGGACAGAAGGTAGCAGCCAATATCCAAAGGAGTTATAGGACGTCACTCGGGAGGTGGGGGCGGGTTGTTGGCGGTAGATGAGCGAACATCATGAGAGATTGTTTTGGGAATCCGGGCGGCATCCGCAGCTGCGATGGAGTCCAGACAAGGACACCGCTCGGCAGACAGATTGACGGGAAATGGCAGGTGAAAACTGAATGCAGGAGTTGTAAATAGGAGTTGATGTTAGGTCCGAAAATAACATTCGGCCTCTTTGAGTTTTGCCTCAGGAAATATGTTGAAATATGTTGCCAGGTTTAATGATTGGAGGAAAAGAAGAAAGACAGAAGTCACTGAAGCGTCGTCTAGAGCGGAGTTGTTGAAAGCCAGGGCCTCCTGGACCGACATTTGGCTGCGGAGAAGGAGTGGGGCATGTGCATGTTATAGATTCAGGAAAAGTGGAGTAGCGAACGGGGAATTTACATGGTAATGAACCGTACTAGAATTTACCAACCCGCTATCTCTCAGAAAATGGAAAGGTAAACGAGGCAACCATTTCTCGTCCGCTCGCCGCGTTGGTCGCCTTATGGATGCCCACTCGTCATTCGTCATTTTCCACTCAGGTCCGACAGCAATCCCTCCCGGCTTCACGCCGTCTACAGTCATAGGACCAAATGATCCCGTTTCACCCCCGCTTGGCACAGTTCGCGCTGACGAGTCCAATGAAGCCATGTTGGCTCACCGAGACTCGACCATGCAAGAAGCAGGTTCCTGAAGCCAACGATAGCGCAATTTGCCCGTCATGGAATGACTTGCATGGCGCGAGTCGCGGCGATGGAGTGAAAAGTGAGCAGCAAACCAAGCAAGACCGTCGACGTCGAACCCCGACTTCAAGGCGCGGCACGGCAGCAATCTAGAAGAGGAGGGCATCCGACTGAAACCTGACGCGGGCATCATGCTGGCTGAATGTCTTCCCTCGTTGCCGCCGGCGTCACAAGATGCTGACAGCGAGAGAACCTTAACTTCAGCGAGCCTATACCCACAGAGCTTGACGCCCAAGGGAGGCGCTGCTCCGCCGTTGCTGCAGGGGCGGTTTCGGGGATAGAGTGTGAAGACGGGAGTTGAGTCCTGACGACAAGTCATCATTCTCTCGATGACCTCTTGATATCCTATCCGTGGTGGTTTGGGTGAGATGTCGTCGGCAGAGAAACCCACGATAGGCAAAGCTCCCATAGAGTTAGCCGCAGCATCTAACCCATTGTGGCAGTGGCTTCCGTACACCTAAACTGATGGCTAACGCAGTTACACAAACAGAAACGCCATGTCTTTGGATGGGCCGACTCGGGTCGATCAACTACCCTCCGGGGCCTCTGGAGCCTCTCGGGCCTCTGGAACTGGAGGCGCTGGCACACCATCATAGCAGTCTTGATTATGGCTCATCCCGGATGGCTTTAACTCGCTAAAAGGGACCATACAGATGCGCGATCCTGGCGCGGGAAGAAGACGCCCAAGTCTCGGGTGGATTTTCTGGCCATATCCATCTGGTTGGGATGGAGGGTGGTGAGGACCCAAAGGGACCCAGTGTCTCTGTGGGCTGAATTGTCAACCTACGATTCGACGTCTCTAGCACCTCCAACGCCTCCAACTGCTCCTTTTAGGGGTCGACGGACGGCCACACATCAATGACCCAAAGACAGACCACCGCCCAAATCTCCAAAGTTTGCTTCCCCTGAAACTCGGGGCTTGCTCCGAAACCTTTGATTTCGGCGTTCGCTCCGGTCATGATCCTTTAGAGAGTTGGCCGTGGAATCTGTAGAGCTACAGATTCGGTCACTGCGACATTTTCTGAGATTGGGACCCGTGATGGCAGAAGACGGAGGTGTCGCCGTGGTTTTGGTCCGTAATTCTGCCTCTGGTACAGTGCACAAATTCGTCAAGGGGGACTCAATCGGTGACAGCGCCATCCAATGAAAAAGACGCTTAGATCCGACTATTTCCTCTTTTGGCCGCCGCATTTCTTCAAAACATCGCAACATTAACCCAAGCTGGGCACCAGCCACACCTGGCTATACTGCAATGCGACCATACCTTTTCCCAAAACTTAACCTGTGATTTGGGCATCTCCATTGGAACCCATCCAGTCTTGTGCCGCCCAGACCTGGACCCTATCTCCGAATCAGCAAGAACGACTGCGAATAATCCGGTCCTGGATACGGTACTTGAAATCATTCCGGCAAACACCACCCCTAGTTGCCATTCCCCTCCAGGACTTATACCCCAGAATATCCTCAGGGCTCTCTCCGGACAACGCGGTGAGACATTATGGTTCTTGTCAGCGAGCTCCGGCCTGAGACTCCATGCCACCCTTGACACAAGGAAGGATTAGGCCACGATGTTGGAGCAATACCGACCATTACCAGGACACCATCAGCTTCGCAAGTTGATGCTTCCCAAGTTCAACCCGACATGAGGCCATACGACTCTTCGTCTTGTTCGTCTTGGCGATGCCCTTTTGAGATACCAACAACTTGAAAGGCCGTAAATGTACCCGTCTTGTTTCGGGCCTCCTTGACCTCAAGATTCAAAGCGTCACAGTGAAGCGGCAATGCTCCCGCTTCACATCCTCAGCGCTGGGGCATTACGAAGAGGATTATCGAGGATTTGAAATCAACTACACATGGTCAGATTTCCTGGTCTATGCTTACGACCCCAACGATACACATTACCCTAAATTTGGGCGTGTATACCTCTAGAACTACCCACCGAGAGCGAGACAACTCATGACCGAGTCTGCTTACATCAAGAGCCGCAATGCACGATTTTAGTCATTCAGGTTGACAGTTGAAAGGAACAACAGTCTTCGTCAACCGTATCACCACAGACAGCGGTTAAGCTTGGATCTCCGATCTTGGTACTCCCCATACCCGGTGCTGATATACGAGTCCTTGGTCCTATCCCTATGTTCATCGCAATGGTGCGCGAACCATTCTTACGGTATTACAGTCTTACAAACTGGTGTTTGAGCACGTATCAATACTCACATTCGGCAAGATCTCCATGTGCAACCAACCCCCGAGACAAAGAACCCATGGGTGCCTATGCATGGCCTCTGCAAGAAAAGGAAGCCCTCGATTACAGGTACGTATTGACATCTCGAAGTACTTGAATCCTGATGACTTCCAAAGGTCGAAAAAGTGGACTCTCGATAATTACAGGACTGAAAGACTGCTGAGTTGTCCAAAGCTGTGCCAGTAGCCCTGCGGCGCAGTAAGCACAGCTTGGCAGACAATTGGCCAAAACTCACAGATGCCCCCCATACAATTTATTGTTCAGACATCAAGACCACATCAAGACCCCGGTAACCGGCCCTTTCCTGATCGGGCCAAGCTTCTGATGTGTGTAAGACGAACGTGATGAGAGGCCTTCCCCATCGTCACCAATGGCTGAGCCACCTGAGGCCCTCCCCTCTCTTGATTGATCGTCGAGGTAGCTGCCGTACCACAAGTACTGGGTCTTGGCTGTTTACCTATCTGACTTTAATTTAGTCGTATGCTAACTCTGTTAAGATTTGAGGCTCTGCTTGTACATTAACTTGTTCCACTGTGTAGCGGAACAACCTGGCGAGTCCTTCCAGTCCCCTGGCGGACGCAAAAGACCCTTGACACTCAGTCACAGTCCACTTACACTGTCATATAATGCGTCCATGGTCCCCCTCTAGCTTTCCTTCATGTCACGCCTTTTCTTTTTCAACCTTACTCTTCAGTCAACATCGAAGTGGTATGAGACCTGATCATACCTCAACATTCAACAACACCAAGAACATCTGACATTTCATATCTACTGATACCCCTTCTCACTTTTCTTCTTCCTGTTACACTCGGTTCTGTGTACTCGAATGCACCTTTCCTTTCCATTCAGAACTACTCGAAGACCTCCACAATATTCGTGATTTGTGCATCTGGCACAGTTCGTCAAGATGACCAACCCGTGGTTCTTCTCGAACGACAACTACAACTACCAGCACATGCAATACTCTTACAACAGGATGGAGGACACATCCTCGAGCTTCATCGATCCCAGCCTGCAAAGTCAAACACCACCATCGCTCTACCCGGTCAACATGGATCAACACCAGACAATGCAACGCCAGTACAAGGAAGAGCAAAAGACAACAATGTTCTTCAACTCCAACATGCCACAACAGCCCACCTTCATGCCTCCCTTCCAAGCCCGCTACAACAGCCCCTTCTCTGCCTTTGAGGCTTCAGAAGCGTCCGGAAGTGCACAAAGTCCGCCAGCCGACACCAACACCGAACTTTCTGCCTACTACGAAACCCGCTCGCCCCTACAGGAACCTCTGCCCTTTGAAGACACTGGCTTCTCCCAGAACCAGATTATCCAGTTCGCCGGCATGGGTCTGAGCAAAGACTCCTCCTTCGTCAATCCCATGGACGTCAACTCCACCGGGCAGTTGGACGGCTACGACAGCGAAACCAGCACTCCCGAGTTCACCTTGCTTCAGCGTGTCGACAGCTGGGAGAGTTACACGACTGGTGGCGTGTCTGGCGGGTGTGACGTGGAGCAGATGCAGCATCATAACTCGCCTATAGTTGACTGCACAAAGCCCGTCAACCACCACTACCCGGTACCTGCACCCCAGGAGAAGGTCGAAGTGCAATCACCGACTATCCTTTCCCTCAACTTGAAGCGAACCAGGGACATCAACGCCGACGACGAAGACGATGAGTACCTCCCAACCACCAAGCGGACCGCGTCTCTTCCATCAACAACCACCGCTAAACCCAGAACAACAACAACCCGCCGCGGCCGCCCCCCAACCTCCCATTCCTCCCTCACCACCCACCGCCCTCACGGGCCCCAACACCAAAGCCAACCAACTCCACGCACCTTTTCCTCAACTGCCACAACCAAAGCCCCAAGTCAAGCTCTAACCCCCTCCTCTGCCCGCGGTACCCTCCTCTGCCCGCACTCTCTCTGCCAACACTCCCACTCTCAATCGCACGGCTTCAAAGACCAGCCCTCTCTAGACGCGCACATCAAGAAACAGCATTCCCGCCCATTCATCTGCGTCTTTTCTTTCGCCGGTTGCGATTCCACGTTCGGAAGCAAGAACGAATGGAAGAGACATGTGGCTAGTCAGCATTTGGTGCTAGAGTATTGGCTTTGTCGGGAGGGGGAGTGTGCCCATGTGGACAACAACTCTCCTCCTACTACTGCTTTGGGAACGGCAGGAGCTGGTCCGAGATCTGGCCGTCGCAGCGGTGCCGGTGCTGTTCAGGGTGTGATGACAGGAGAGGAAGATGACGAGGACAGTAATGCCCCCTTGTTGCCCAACGGCGCAGTCTTCAACCGCAAAGATCTCTACACGCAACACGTTCGTCGTATGCACTTGCCTTCCCACCTAACCCACCTCAAGAAGGAATCTACCAGCACATCTAGCAACAAGAAACCATCCCCTCTCAACCAGAGCAATAATAACACAGCCCAAGAACTAAACACCTACATAGCCACCCTCCAATCTCGCGCACAAATCAAGCGCTGCGCTTTACCTACATGTATGCGCTGTCCCGTCCCTAGCTGCACGCATGCCCCCTTCAAGGGCACCGAGGCGTGGGATCAGAGGATGGAACATGTTGCTAAGCATTTGGAGAAGTCTGCTGCTGCCACTGCTTCTTCTTCGCTTTTTACTACTTTTGCTGCTTCTACTGTTTCTTCTTCTCCGAACATTACAGAACATAATGGGGAGGAAGATAAGGTAGAATTTGGTGGGGAGAATGACAAGACGCTTACGGAGTGGGCTAGTAGTCGCGAGGTGGGGATTATTAGAAGAGTAAACGGAGGCAAGTGGACGACTAGAGATCCGCTCAAGAGGAGGGGACATGGTGGGAATGGAAACCCACATGGGTGTGGAGTGGGAAGGGGTGGACGGACGAGGGCGGTTAAGAATAAGTCGGCTAAGGGTGTGAAGAGAGAACAGGAGGAGATCTACGTCAAGCAGGAGATTGTCGTCCGACAGCGGACATTCGACTTCGATGAGGATTTGGAGGATGAATGACTTCCGACGAGAAAAGAGAGGGTTGACAAAACTTCGCCTTCTGTTTTTCTGTTGGATTCGGTGATGGTTCACGGCCCAGAAAGGTTGGTGTGAACAAACAAAAAGATATTGATACGTTAACTGGAACTGGACCTGGGAACCCGGGGGGGATATGGGGGATATTGGATTGGGGGTTCAATGACTGATGATGATTGATGATACCATATAGATAGCTACACCTTCACTACTAAAGTCTTTCTTTTGTCAAGTGGCTAATAAACGTGTGCGTTGTCTTTTACTCACTGTTGAGTTGTTCCAAGTGCCCGCCTTTGCTATTGTGATGATTATTCATTTCTTGCCATAGTGGGGATGGGGTCATGGATATCAAGCAACTCACATTAGTTGCTACCTGCATTAAGTAGTCAGTTGGGCTAACAGACTGGTATCAAGTTAACATAGATGTCTGATGCTGTGGAGTTCAGTACTTCAGTTGCTGTGATCTCGACCATCTATCGTCGTGATGCTATTCCTGGGGAGCGATAACTAGGTATGAGTCAACGCGTTGACCATTTCTTTTTCCTAGCCAAAATATCAGCACCAGTACGAACAACCTCCTCGCTTACCTTCTCCCATAACCAATCTCTCCTCTCTCTCATGTTCGGTTACCATCGCATTTCCACGGTCTTGCAGAAATAATTCCGCATTTCAGCTCATGCTCAAGACGTCGACATGGGGCGTGGATCGTGATTGTGTGGAACCAAAGGACATCATGGCTGCATTCCGGGCCTCCTGCAAGTCCCCAAGCCGGCGCCATGCTCCTGTCATTGATAGGTACCACTGAGCGCCAAAGCATTCCTTGTTGACTGGCTGCTGTTTAACAGAAGGCCCGGTGGTCGGGTCGCTTGTAGGCATCCAGGCACCCAGACTACCCAGAAACCAGAAGAGCCAGGTTATCAGTAGGCGTGTAGGCAGGCATGTCGCCGGCTTGGGGACTTGCAGCAGCATTCGGATGGCGTAAGGCGCGAAGCCAGCAGGAAGCCAACAGGATGAAGCAGTGTCATGTCGCTCGTAGTGCTTTTCTTTCAGTGGCGGATCGAGTTTCTGGTTAACGTTGTAACTTTCATGTCCCATCCGGTACAAACTTACCGAAGGGTTGAGAGTGACCCTTTGGCAACCCACGGAGGCAGGCAGGTAACAATCCGGCCGATCACTATAATCAGTTGCCTCCACCCACACCGCGATTCTCCCACCTTAAGCTTCCAAGAGCATGTAGAAGCGGCGGTGTGCCGAACAAATGTTGGACAAAAAGTTCCAGTTGCATCGCAGACGGACGGGAGGGCAAATGTAACCTGCTACCACATCCGCGGTGCCAGCAGGGGCATTGAGCCAGCATTAGGCCAGCATATTGCCAGGTTTTTGGGTGTAACCTTGGATACAAGAGGAAATGCGGTGATAGTAGCCCCTACATTGGAAGCTTTGGGTACGTACTGTCCGACTATGTGGTAGTGTCCGTGGAGATCTTCGACTTGAAGAATCACCACCAGCCACAGGTCCAGCGAGCGATAGGGTGGGCTGACCGACCATTTGGACGTCCATCCTTCGTCAGCCCGTACCATTGGAGGTCGTACAAAAGGGGTATTTGGGGCTTTGTCCCTGCTGGGAAGACCAGGGGGCTTGGAGTGGTGGTACAAAAGTACTATCGTAGGGTTGGATGAAGAGACATGGGATATGCAGACAGAGAGACACTGCCATGCCGGCACCGAGACGGGGAAACGATCCGTAGGTTGGAATTGGGGGGATAGAGTTGGGGTTGGTCGATATGATGATGCCGTGATGCCGTGGAGGTGGCTGTGAAGATACATCTACCGAGAAGTTGTCCTTGTAGACAGATAGATGATTGAGAGACAAACCAGTGAGAAGCGAGTGTCTGAACGATACTCAGGACTCGAGTAACAAACTGACGCAATCTCACTGTTACGGGAATGGCCTCTCATGAAGGCCCTGTCTAGACACTCGTCTGTGGTCCGACTGGAGACAGAGCAAACTTTTCGTTATATGTGGCTTGATCTGGGGTAGTCCATCGCTTACCTCCACTCAAAATGGTGAAATGACTCCACAAAAGATCGCGTGTCTTTGGAGTCCAGACCAGAGGACAAAGTGTTCAGCGCGCTTAACATGTCTTGTTTGTCTGGCAGTTCCCGATTCACAGCTTTTGCTTAGGGGATTGACAAGAATCTTCCAGAGCTGAGTCGGGATTGACCTTGGCAAAAGCTTGTGGTGGTGCTCAGCTCGTTGGAGGTGCAGCGTGAGGTTGACAACACAAGGCATTATAATGATCATCGACAGGCAATCGCCCATTTTCGGCGGGGGTCGGCAGCCACTAACGGACACGGACACGGCCACCATCACGGCCATGGCGCCCATCGCGCTGGAACGGTAGGTTGGGCGCAGGGTAAAGGAGGGCGCCAGAGTTAGTATCCCTTTCCTTTCCTTTTTTTTTCTTCTGGCGGCTGTCCTTCATGATGTCTCACCATCATGAACACCGTTGACCAGTATCGTTCGACCTTCATTGTTCGAGGCAAAGGGTGGTCGTTCGACTGGTGAAAGGGTCCAAGAATCCATCTTTAGACCCCATTGGCTATCACTTGCAGCTCGTTTGTGATCGTCGTCGTTGCTAGCAGGTAAACTAGTGACGACTGACGAGAGAAAGCTCCTATGACGCAATCTGAGACTTTTCCACTTGCCGCCCGTCTAGTCTCGTGGTGAATGGAGTTTGGAGCGATTACGCACCGGAAGGATTCACGTACCTCGCAGCTAATTGCTTTGCCTTACACTAATGCGCGGGCCGACACTGAGGGTATCGGAATTCCAAGATTTGAAGAGGTATTGGCGGGTGAAGTGGTCTGGGGCTGGGTCGCAAGGAGGGCGACCGTCTTTGGCGCTCCTAGAGATTCTGGAAGACGAAAGAGGAACTGCGGCGATGAAAAGGGAATAGTGTCATCTTGGCAAGCTGGCATGGGTCTGGAGGTCTAGCATTGCGCCGGCGTCGTTCTGGCATCATGAACGCGTTGGTCTACCGAAAGATGTGAGATGTGACTTGGTATTGGTCAGATAGACAAACAGGGGATTCGGGAGGAGCAGAGAAGAAAAGTAGGTGTATGTCAAAAAGTGATTGATTCATTGTGACAAAAACTGTGGAAGGTTCGCCGGTCTCAAAAAGCGGGAACGGGAAGGACAAGTGAGGAACGACCCTGAGGCGGACGGCTGACTGGCTACAAAATATTCAGAAACCAGAATCATACTGCCTGATGTGGTAAAGGTTCACCTCGCATTTATCAGCATTATTTCCTGTATCCCCTTTACACTTGACGTTACACAAGAATACCAAGCACCAATGCCCCTCCTCAGTTTCCGCTTTTCCTTCCACTTGCCGCACATCCAACAACCACCACAATTTTGGACAACACTCGCGCACACACACCGGCTTCAGCTGCAATCAGCTCCTCGCCCTAGAAAATCTTGATGATCACGAATCACCCAGAAGCTTTTCATACCTCCGTCATCGCGTACTGTGCTATCTGCCAGGCCTCTCATACCGGCTTTTGCTTCATCTTCATCAACACTTGATCACCAAACGCAATGCAGCCACTATCGGGTTCTCAAAATGGCAAACTCTCAAACTCTCCGATGCAATGCTATCCTCAAGCTGTTGATACCAGCACTATCCAAGTATCCGATTTTTAACTTTCAAGAAATCCAAGATACCCCCCAGTTAACACCCCAATCCTACGCACTACTCCCAGGCACTCCCCATTCAACAACCTCCAACACCCCTTCCCTTCACCTATCCCAAACCCCCCCCAACTGCCTCGAGCAATACCACTCCGAATGACTCAACCGACACCTTCCATACTTGCCAGCCATGATCAGCACTAAAAAGAGAATTAACCCAGCACAAGCGTCAGCAAACAACTCCCCCAAACCAACAACATCCTTATCACTCCTCTCAATAAAAGCAGACATTTGTAGCGGGTAATCTCACATCCTAAAGTATAAGCCGCGATCCCAAACATGACTCCCAGGATGATGTATCCGCTTAAGAGCAGCAGGGGGAAGGTGATGATGTTGCGGAGGAGCTTTCGGCACCACGCCCACCAGCTTTCTGCTGCTGAATTTTTGGTACTGCTGCTGGCGGCGGTGGTGGTGGTGATGACGGCAGGTTGTCGGCGGTAGTTATCCATGGCTATGCTGGTTGGTGTTCTTGTCGGTAGTGTCTGTATTCCTGTTGGTTTGCAGAAGAATAAGGGAGCCTGGTGGGATTGGGATTGGGATGGCCAGCGATTGTCGGAAGGGTAGGTGGATGCGTCGGACCGGTACATCTGGCGTTATGGTTGTGGCTGGCTCTTGTTCTTGTTTTTGCGGTGAGTTAACTTCGTGATGAGATGAGCAGACTTGTTCGCCTGGAAACAACGACATAGAATTTGGTGATGACGTCTTTATACGTGTTGCGAGCGGAAGCTTGGATGCTCAAGGGGCAGCATTGCCTCACACACTTTTGAGGGGTTTCGCATCACCTACATCAACAAAGGAGTTGTATATGACTATGTGAGATCTTCCCTCCTTTCAGCCTGGCAAACGGTGATGGACACGTCAGAAACACTCACTCATATGATTGAGTGTCTTTGAACATCTTGTTGTTTCAACAGGACATTGTATCATGTTCACTGGGCCTTCCTTTGCACTGCTGTCTCAAATTTTCTAACGATTTCTGGGTCTCATCATATATTGTGCAATGGTAACAACTCCAATTCCTCATGCCCGGCATCGCTTTGGATGACGGACACTCTACCATGAACAGACAGACGCTCCCTAGCCTGAGATGGAACTTGCAATGAATAAAACGTTAATTCAATTCCACAAATTCCTTCTAGAATCATCGCATCAAGTTAGAATTCTAGGCCTTCAAAAATCTCCCCCTCCGACCGAGCCCGGGCCCTTCCATCCCATCCCATTCCCTTGTCGTCGCCCTAGGCATCCGGGACCTTATAACCTCCCTTTCCTAACCCTCCTCCCATAGCGGGAGACCGGGCTCATGGCGCAGTGGTTCCAGGTCCCGTTGATGAAAACTGCATTGCCGGGTACGTCGGTATCCCGTGGTACAGCGGTTTTCGTAGGTCTGCCTGCAAGCGGGAGCGTTGTGGTTTGATTCAAGTTCCAACAACCAAGCTTTTACTGGGCGACTGAGCTTTTTGCTGTTTTTGTTGCGGTCGAGACTTGGATGAACATGATGCAGACAAGTTTTCCGCCTTTTTGGGTTGCCTTTGAAAAAGATTTGCAAGGTGAAGTCGATGTGAAGTCAATCAAGTTCATAACGCCCATTTCACCATCTTGACAATAAAAGGACGCATGGAAATTAGCAAAGATATCCTCGCGGTCGAGGGTGCGATTACCATTTCTGGCTCTGGACACTCGTTCAGGTTATCCTCAAGCCCTTCTCGCCTCGACCTTAAAAACTGATGATCTTCAACTCCCATCCTTCTCGAGCTTGGAAACGGGTGAAAAACCTTCCTGTGCGCAAACTTTTCATCTGACCTTCTTCCCCGCCAAAACCTGGTCTCAACTCGGTGCCTACCCTCACATTCACTTTAACCCTCACCTTGTTGCCATGGGAGCACGGAGCAGGCAGTCAACCAAACCACAACTATCAACCATCTCAGAAACCCGAACATTCTCCAAGCAAACCGCGACCATCTCCACGACCACAAAGAAGACTCGTAACGTTAAATTCGCCATCAGACAACTCCCGCGATGGAAAACCCACCCATTACCGCGGGTGATTCACCCCCTCCTTCTCCTCCATCGCAACCGCAACCGCAAGAAAGCATCCTCAACCGCAAAATCCTTCCCCGCGGTCTACCTCACAGCTTCTCATCCAACCTCAACCGCGACGTCATCACCCCTTCCAAGAAACCGAAAGCGAACAATAACCGCTCCGTCCGATCCATCATCGCGTCATTCGAGAGCGCGGCGAGCAAACAACCGCCACCCTATTCCCCAGTGTTCGAGTCGATTACCCCGCGATGCAGCACCATCAGAAGCAGCGCATCGACGGGCGCAAGTCTGACGAGTTTTCGGCGGGTGAAAGGTAACCAGGGCCGAGATAGAGGGGTTAGTGAGTGTCATGATGCGAGGAGGAGTCAATATCGTGAAAATGATAGAGAGGCTTGGGAGGCGGGTGACGCAGGAGCTGGGGTAGAGGGCACGAGGAGTGTGTCGACGCCTGTCATCCCAAGGATGAGCTCGATCATGCCGTTCGCAATGGATGAAGAGGATTCATTGACGCTGTTGAATTACAAATCGTATTTCAACCAGCCTTTGGCCAGGTGTCTTGATGGATTTGTCGATTTCAACGAAGGCGAGGAGGAAGTCGACCAGCAAAACGAAAAGCACGAGGACAAGAAGTTGAGAGACAAACCCGACGACTTCGACAAGGAAAACAAACCCCTCCGTATCACGAAGCGACAGGACAGAGTCAAGACGGCCCAAACCGAGACCCATATTACCACAAGTGCCCCGCGACTCGTACAACGACAATCAAGAAGACCAAGTCTCATGCACAGAAAGTCCTCGGCCTCAGTCGTGGCCTTGGAAAAGCTCATGCACGAGCTCGAGAACTTCTCAATCAACCCACCGTTGGAGGAGGAAGAGAGTGAAATCATCGCCATGGAGGAAGACAAACCAATTATTCGCCGCGACCCAACAGATGTCCAGGATTTTTGGTGGACGGTCCGTCGCAACTTGTGGGTTGACGAAGATGAGGTGTACAACCCGGATGACCACCGCGAGACTAAAATTTCAACACTCAGCAGCGACATCCCGAAGATTCAACTCCCTCTGCCTGGAACAACCGATGTCTCGACAAGGGCATCGTGTGCCTTCGCCAAGCAGATTCCGCTACCTGCGCCTCCCATTCCTTTTCGATCACCGAACAGATTATCCAGTGTTGGCCGGGGGAGTCCATCTCCCATGGGTACACCGACTCGTCTGCCGAATAGGTCGATATCCTCCAAGTCTAATTCTCCACTGAAGCACTCGGTCCTGACGGCAGGTCACCCTCCGCCCTCGCCATCTGCTTCTGTTAGGCCCGAGCCTCCGACACCCCTATCGCCGCCCAGGGTTTTTCGACAGAGTCCAAGCCCTCCCCCTAGAAGCTCCAAGCGGCCAGTTTCTCCTCCCTTGTCGACGGCGGGTAAAGACGAGTACCTGGATGGCAATACCCCAAAGGCTTCTCCATCCAAGAAGTCAACCCTTTCCTTGATGAATCAGGAACACCCCGGGTCTCGTGGTCCGAGTTCATCATCTCTTGATGTGAATGCGAGCACATCGCAGGCGGACTGGGACTCGGCTTTGGGGTATGAAGACGAAGAAGTTCATGAACAGAAAGCAGAGGATACCCATCAGCGTCGGACTCAACCCGATGGTCCTTCGTTGGATGAGATTGACGGGTTGTTCAGCCGAGTTCCCGCGGATTCTGCCGCTTCTTCCCCAGCCACAGCTGTTGCCGTTGATGGCAGTCAGGAGAATACGCCCAGAGCCGAGTCTGCTTTTGACCAGATCAAGAAAAAGATAGAGAGCAGGGAAGAGAAGAAGCGGTCCGTCCACAGCCGTCACTCGTCACTTGTACGACTGAGTGACACCTCGGAGAGTAAAAGCTTGCCCTCCCAGTCTGGGTCATATCAAGAGACCGAACAGGAACAGCAACACTCACCTCACTCACCCGAAGACCACCCTTCCCCCACTCACAGCAAGAACACCGACAGCAGCCGCCGCCACAGCCGCCGCCGTCTCCACCTCTCAGCCATGAACCTCCCGGGCCTCCGCCACCTTCGTAGTCGACAAAGCAAATCTTCCCTTTCCAGTCCAGACTCCGACAGTCTCAAAACTCCCACCACAGCCAACAGCATCAGCAGCACCCGGGCAAACATCAGCAGTCCTGTCCCCATTCTCAGTGCTGGCTTCAGCAATCCCGATGACAGCATCCCCAGTAGCATTCCTTACTCAGCCACCCTCCCGGCTCGCTCTTCTTTGGCGAGTATCAGTGAATCTGGTACTAGACCCAGATACTCCAGGTCCCAGCATTCGCAGGAAGGTCACCAGAAAACGCCGACAGAAGAAGAGGAGCAGGCAGCAGATACTGAAACGGAACAAACGACAACAGGGATGAAGAAGAAGGGAGAGACCAGTGGGACTGACGTGGTGTATCACTCGAAACAATTCGTTACAAAGGTGCCGAAGCTGGAGGAGGCGCCGAAGGGAGGTGGTGGCTTCAGAGGGCATTTTAGGAGGAGGAATAAGAGCAAAGACGAGACTAAGATGCAAAAGGAGATGGAAAGCCTGAATGACGAAGTGCAAGAGTTTTTGAACTCGCACAAGAACAACAGTCTGGAGAAGGAAGGAGCAGGCAGTAACGACCATCATCACAGGGATGGATTCAAGGAAGGGGCAACCAAAAACGGCATTACCGCAAGCACCAGCGCTTCCAGCATCCCACTTTCCAGTCACCGCTTCGACCGCCCCCAGTCCGGAGCACGAGGTAATCACCACCTGACCTCTCTCGACGACAGCCAACTTCCTCATCAGAGCCCTTTGCGCACCTCCGACGACCATGACAACACTCCCACCCAGAGCCAGACCCTCAACTCTATGAACTACTCACTCACCCTCCCAATAACCCGCCGCCCACCCCGCCCACGCGAAGACCATCATCACCTCTCCAAAATTCAAAAGTTGTTGAACTCGGAGGATAGCTTCAATACCAGCCTGCGTTCGTTTCGTCCCATTAATTCCGGTTCAAACTCGCATACGCACTCACAATCTATGCACTCTATCCCAGAGTCCAACTCGACGGGGAGTATGTACAGCCAAGACGAACAAGATGAAGAAGGGAAGAAGAGGGAGGATGCATCGATGTTGATTGGAGAGGTGTTGGAGACTGTGAAGAGTTTGGGGGAGGAAGTTGTGAAGGGGAGGAAGTTGTGAAGGGGAGGAGGAGGGGATGATACACCAGGTTTTAGGAAGGAGGATATATGACTAGTGTTTGGAACAAACGAAGGCAAAGAGATGGGAAATGGCTTTGAGACTAATTAGTCCTCGAAAAAAAGCCGTAAATAATAAAAACTTCTCTGGTGTTCTCGTCTTCGTTGCTCGGTCGAATTCGCACATGGCTGGATGTGTTGCTGCCCTGACAGAGTCCACCTAGCTAGACACTCCCTTATCGCCGCCATCAACACATTGCTTTCCTCCAGACTTCCCTGCATCAAATTTGAGATACCGTAACAAAACTCTAAGCATCATGTCTTTTATACAACGTCAAGTAATGCACCATGAAACAACCCAGCATTGAAGTGTATCCGACATTTAGTCACTAAAGTAATTACTGCTCAATAATTACCACGTTCGAAAGCAAACACCATCCATCATATTGTCCTTACAAGCTAGTACTATTCAACACTCCCCGCACTCCTCTCCGTCCCCATCGTCCTCGCACTCCCCATCGTACCCCTAGAATCCTTCATCCACAACCCCGTTCCCGTACTAGTAGTACCAGTGCCAACCGACGTACACAAATCCGTCTCATCTCCCCCATTGAAACCAACTTCTTTGACTCTCACCCTGACATGATTCCCATCAGCACCATTGACTATCCTCCATCCTCCCCTCCCATAATCTCCTCTAACTCCACCACTGACGTTTTCGTATCCTTCTGCTTCTGCTCCTGGTCTCATTCTTCTTCTTTTTTCCCTTTCCCATTCCCATTTTGCTCGAGCGATTTCTTCGTCTGTTGTTTCGGTTTCTCTTCTCCTGCCTCTTTCTCTTCCATTTCCTACGTCGTGTTCGTTTTCGGGGTTGTCGTTGTTGTTGGTTTCCTTGTTACCATCCTCGTTGTTATCATGTCCCTGCCCACCCCCGTTGACTTCGGCATCGGAAGGGGCATCGGAAGTGACATCGGACAGAGCATCGGAAGGGATAATGAAATCCTCCACTTCTTCCAGGGGAATGATCAAAAGGTCGGATTCCAATGTTACTGACGCCGTGCGTGTATGTCTCAGCCTATTCGCACTGCTACCTTCTGCGTCGTGGCTATCTTGGCTGTCATGGCTGTCATGGCTGTCGATGGTGCTCGTAGTTTGAGTGCTGTGGGTGCGAGAGTGCTGACCAGGGACACCAGTAGTTGTGGACTCATTGCTGGTAACTTTATCCAGCTCCGAAACGCGAGAAGAACCAGTGGCTGTAGTCCCGGTGGTGGAAGTTGTTGATGATCTTTTTCGATTCGTGGTTTTGGCTTTGATTTTGTACCAAGAGCTTGGACCGGCGTGGGAATTGTTGCTGTAGATGCCGGTGGAATGTCTTTTGTTGTTGCTGCTGCTCTTACTGTCCCTCTTGCTGTTTCGTTTGCTGTCTCTCTTGCTGCTGCTGTTGCCCTCTTTGTTGCTATGGGGACTACTAGCCCTAGTGGAAATAGTCGAAATACTCAGAGACCAGGAAGATCTGGAAGAACGACGATTGTTGCTGTTGCTACTACTTTTTACTGTAGCGGTTGTTATGACTGTGATGACTATGATGACTGTGGTAGCTGTGTCGATGTTTCTTTTCTTCCAACTGATTATCGTGTTCATGTTGCTGGTTGACATCAACGTCGGCATCGGCATCGACATCGGCAGCGTTGTAATGGGCGATACCTTCTTCAGGAACAGGAGATGGTAAAGCAGCGAAAACAGATGCAGACGCAGAAGAAGAAGAAGCGTGTGTTGCTGATAATGAAGGAGCTAAAGCACGCGGACGAGGACGTGTAAAAAACAGCTTGCTGGGCGGTCGCTGGCCGGTGCCGACGTACGAGGGGGCTCGTTGATCGCAGGGGTCGTTATCGTTTTCGTCGTATTCTTTGTTTTGGTGCTCATGCTCGTTCTCTTGTTTATCTGACCCCTTTGTCTGGTGGTCCATCTTCGAAGATGGATCAATTTGGTTGGAACCAATAGATTGTGTTCTGACGCTTTTGGTTGGGCTCGCTGTCGGATTCAGACGATGATGATCTTCGTTTTCTGAGATTCGACAGTTGTTGGCTAGATTCTCCAACAACCACTGCGGCCGAGTTATCTTCTGTTGGCGGGTTGGCTTCGGGGGTGGTTCCGTCGGTGTTCTCGTCGGTGTCCTCGTCGGTGTCTCCATCACTGTCTTCGTCGGTATCGGTGTCTTCGTCGGTATCCGTTCGCTCGTCATCGTCACCGTCGCCGTCGTCGTTGTCGGGGTCTTCGTCCGCGTCGAATCCAAGTTGCTCACTGAAGCCATGGAATGCTTCGAACTCATCGTAGTTGTCGTTTTGGTCCCAGAGCTGAGCGCTCCAAAGCCATAAGTCGAGTGCTGATCCCCTTTTTGAGAAAAATGGTAAGCTTCTTCTTCCTCCTCCTGTCCCTCAATAACATCGTAATCATCATCTTCATCTTCTTCCCCTTCTTGTTCTTCTCGTTCAACAACAACACAATCACGATGCTGCTTGTTTTCGTTCTTGTGATGAGAAGAATTTACGAACCGATATTCCACGCCAAACTCTTCTTCTTCATCTCCTCCATACCCGCCAGGAGGAATAGTTCTCGAGCCAGAAGAAAAAGGCTGCTGCTGCCAGGTGGAGGAAGGAGGGCTCATAGTATTGGAAGGAACCGAAGAGAAGGTTGAATGGAAGGACCATTGGAAAGGAACCACAGGATGTCTGTTGTTGTCGTCGTCGTTGTTGACGCATGTGGCAGTGTTCGTCGTGGTGGTGGTGGTGGTGGTGTACCGGGAGAACTCCGGTGCCTGACTAAAGTCCTCCGTGGACGGCTGTATCCTAGGTAGCCCCCATGTGCTGCTCTTGCCCTGCGGGAATCGTTGCGGGAAGAACCATGATTGCAGCGGCGGCGCAGGCATACTTAAATCAACCAACGAAATGGGAACATCCGCCAGGCATTTATACGTGTGCAAGACATGGTCCGTGGGGGCGGGGACGGCCGCCATGCTTGCCAGATCCATCGCTGTCTGGCAGCGTTTGCACCGACATTTGGCTTTAGGGCCTGGAAGAGGAGGAGGGTAACCAGGCACCTGGATCTTGAGATGGGAATCTTCGTGGACAAGGCTGTAATCGATTTCGATTTCGATTCCTTTCCTTTTACCTTTGTCCTTGATGGACCTGGGCAGTTCCCCTTCGCCGAAATGGGACTCCCCGGTGTTCTCGTCGATGTAGAAATACCTTGAAGGGGCCACCATGGAGCTCTTGCCGGAGGAGTCATCTGCCATGTTGTCGTTGTAATTGTTCCGGTCCATTGTAGCGTGTGTTGTTTCTGGCATCTCCGTTGCTGCTGGTTGTTGTGAAAAGGGGTTTTTCGGACGTGTGTGTAAGTGGTGTAAAGAAGGAAGAAGATATGTGCCCTCAAGAGATCCGGCAGAGGTCTGGCCCTCTTTTGAATCCTCCGCCTTATCCATACGTGGCCTCCCCTTCCAGTGCGGATGCAGGAGACTGGTATCAACAACTTTGCCTCTCAATGCGATGCGTGGTGTTGCAGGTCGACTTGCTGAATACGTCTTGCGGCTGCTCTCCGACAGAACCAGCAGCTTTTTGAACTTTTCCAAGCCTCGTTTCCACAACCCAGTACCGGAGGTCCGGTTTTGGGACTTGCTGTGCGTCTTCTTCTCATACAAGTTCCTTCGGTCTGCATCTGCATAGTCTGCATGATACCTCCGGTTGTGGCTGGTAATGGCATCCTTCGAGTCCTTCTCCTCAACCTGCCGCAGATAATCCCTTCTCCTAAAGCCGAAACTAGTCTCGGTCGAGCTGGCACCCAGCACGTCAGCCAAGCGCTCCATGACCACCGAGTTCCGCGGTGGCTTTGGTATCGGCGGAGGAGCTGGTATTTCCATGTCATTCTCATCCCCATCCCCAGGGCCAGAAGGGGCAAGAATAGGTGGCCACCGTGTCTCCTTTGCTGCTGCTGCGGCAGCTGCTGCAGTCGCCGCCTTTTTATCCGTTCTCTTGAACCCTCCGTCGAACCCCCAGAGCCCGTTGTCTGCATCTTGTTGCACGCCCTTCCATCCGCCTCTCCAGCTCCACCTTGTTTCCCTTTCTCCTTTCTTCCCTCCTGCTGCTTCTTTTCCCCTCTGTCCTGCACCAATACCCCCATCATAGCCCCCCCTAACCCTCCCCCCTCCATCCCTCGGCCCCCTCTCCCCTTTTCCTTTCAAACTACTCGACATAAACTCCCTCTTCCACTGCCTAACCTTATCCCTCATCATCCACCTCCTCCCCCTCTTCTTCCGTGAATAACACCCCTCAATGATCCTGCTCGCCGCCTTCTGCGCCTTCTGGTTCCGCTTGGGGTCATGCCGCCATTCTTTGCTTAGGGTGCTGCTGGCCCTTGATTCCGACGTGGTGGTGTTCGTGGGGTATATATCCAGGACGGAATCTGAGGCAAAGATTGGTTCGATGGTAATATGACTCTGGTCAGTGAGCAGGTTGTTGTTTGCGGCGCTAGGGCTGCTGGAGATGGGCAAGGAGATGCTGGTTATGGGTGTGTCTGATGATCGGTTGTTGTTGTTGTTGTTGTTGTTGTTGTTGTTGTTGCAGCCGTGTGGACAGTGATGATCGTGATTGTGGTGGTGGTCATCAGGAGCCAAAGGGTGGGTACTATCTATATCTATAGGGATGGAAGGAGGCGTAGAAGATGGCAGGGAGAGGGTTAGAAGGGGAGGCGAGGGTGTTGATGAACCACCGTTACCAACATGCTGCTGTTGCTGCTGCTGCTGCGATGGCGGTGTGATGTATCGGCGGAGAGTGGTGCCGCCGCTGCAGGTGGCTGTCGTGGTGCTCATTATGGATCCTTGCGGCACGAGGGAAGTTGTGCTTTGCTGGTTTGCTTGCGAGGCGGTCTTGTTCTGGCTTTGGGTTCGAGATCCATTTTTGGGGCGTTTTCCGGTAGTAGCTTTCGGTTTCGTTTTCGATGTCTGTGAGCTTGATCTTGGTCTTGACCTTGACTGCGCTGGAGGGAAGAGGCTCGTCCAGGGCGGAGATGGATCGATGATTGATCGTGCCGTCATTTTGATGTTTTCTCCGTAAAGGACTAGCTGCCTAGCCGACAGCTTTTTTTCGGGTTAGGCAAATTGAAGCGATCCGAAGCTCGAACTCCTTTATACCCTCTGCTACCGTACCCGAATGCTAATCGCTTGGAAGAAGTTGCAGTATCCCGAGTATCGTTCCCGGTCACTTCACTCTAGATTAAGTGAAGGACGTCCTTCTTGTCGGACTGCTTCACTAAGGTATCTGTGTCCATGATCAGCAATTGCATTCCATCCCATCTTATTCTTGTATGAACGAACGATTGAACCGGTGAAACTGAGCTCAAATTTAAGCCAACTTCCATTTCCTCGGTTCAAACCAACTGGCTGATCCGAACAATGAGGGTAGATTTGGGCCGCGCGGGCGCGTAAGGTGAACACACAAAACAATGGAATTCTCAACGTACGTACCTCGATCCTTTTCTTTGTCACTCCTTCCACTTCCCGTCAAAGATTTACCGCGCCTAGCTTATCAGAGCTATATTAAGCCCCAACTTGGCCGATATTGGTCCAAATTCGAGCTTTTTTCCTTACAATAGCCGGCCGGCGCTTAATAGGTAGTAGTGTTGATGGTCGGTTATGTCCTGCTCGTTCGTCTACTTGTGCAAAACGAGGAGACGCCCGTTAAGATCTTCTCATACTCGCCGAGTCTTCCGCTTCGGTATTCGTTTCCTCCTGCTCTCCGTGTTTCGCATAAGAACGAATGACTCAAGGGTCTGGTTGCTTCAGGTCTGTCACTCCCGTCCTGTAGGATCAAAGGCCGGGATGAGTATACTGCCGCTATTGTCGATGTGTGTTAACTAGTGGTGAGTATGGCCGGCCGAGATGCAGACAGTCTCGTTGAGCGAACTTGAGGAAAGAAAAAAACAAACGCCACCCTAATTGCCTTTCATCGCAATGTGAAAATATAATTTCCACCACCTCTCATGGCATCCACCCCCTTCCAGAAGCATTCCGTGACAGCTACCCACTTGGCCTCATCAATACCGTGATCCAGAGCCGACGGCGGCGTTTCGGAAACACCAGATGAACAACTTCCATACATCCTCGCTCAAGGTTGGTCCTTGCCTTGGCCCGCTTGGACATTCGGACGGGATTCAGGGGCAACCCGCACGTACCCCTTCTGCGAAGTATCGACACAATACACACACTTCACATCAACCTCAAGCATCATAGGCCCAAAGGGCTGCCAGGAGAACAATGGACTATAATTTATACATTTACATCGCTTCCACTTAAAACATAAAGACCACGATGCCTCTACCACTATGGCACCACTGAACGCTTTTGTCAGCCGCCAGCACTCGGCAGAAACAGCTAAGGTAGGTGTAGGTGTGGGCAATTTCCTCCCAGAAAAGCGCCGTTAAGAATAACCATCAACCCCATCAACCCTTCAACCCCATTTTCTATGGCTCCCCTCAGCTCCTTCCAGCAGCAGCTTCCTCATCCTCAGCATCCTCAACCGCAGCGGGAGCGGGTCTTGGCCTTGGTCTATGACTTTCACTAGCGTCGATAGATAAACGACCGTCAGACTCAACCTCCTCTTGCTCCTCTCCTTCTCTCTTGGTACTGGGCCCAGGTTGGGATGCTTCCGGCTGTGGAGAGGACGGGACATTATTGAAGCTCCAACCTCCGGCCAATCCTCCCAAGGGACTGGGATTCGCCTCCGGCGCTATCGTTCCTAGGTTTTGGGGCGTGTTTTCTGGTCGAGGAGATGATGTTGATGGTTCTGGTGAACGCGGAGTTTGTGTCTCCCCAGTCCAGACAGGCGTTGGAGATACAGTATTAGTGGTCGTTTGTTGCTGTTCGGTAGAACTCCTGGGAGTTGTGGGAGTTGTGGGGGTAATAGGTTGGCTGTGGCTAGTTGGTGGCGTAGCAGTTAAAAGAGCTGGTTGAATTTGACTTTGAGCTTCATTATCGGGCCTTGGTTCCCTAACTGTCCGCTGCTCAGTCGACGGCCCTGCTGTTGCTGTCCCTGATGCTGCTGTCTCGCCACCGGCATTTTGTCCCGGAGCCACAGCAGCACCATTCAACCGTTCCAAAGGAAGCAGCGACCACCCCTCAGGGATCACACACCCTCGGGCAAATCAGGACTGCCGGCTGGAATAGCCGTTCCCCAATCGGCAGCGCCATGCCTGGTGGCATTTTGTGGGAATGGTGGGATTTGTACCGGCTCTTGAGGAAGTATTACCCCATGTGCTTGCGCTTGCTGAGCATGGCGTACCCGAGCCAGCTCCGTGGCAATGTTCTGCAACGAGCGGAACTGTCCGATCGTAGAGCTCAACTCCCTCAACTCCTGATCCAGACGCTGCCCAATTTCCATCAGCTGCGTCTGAATTTGATCCATGCCAGTAGCAGCACCTTGTCCATTAATAGGTTGTTGTTGTTGTT